GATTGATACACATATTGGTACCAAATTACAGCTTTCTAGTGCTAACGGTCACAGAGATTAAGCGAGGACGGACAGACGGACAGACAGACACGGCGAAACTATAAGGGTTCCTAGTTGACTACGGAACCCTAAAAAACGATATGCTTTATAAAATTACGAACTTTTTATTTTTCGCCACCGAAATATAGTTTACATCTTATAAAGGAATACTGGAAGACTTATGCAACAACACAATGTTTTCCAATGTTGATTGATACGCTACTTGAAAACAAGATTTAGTAATTTCACATCGAAAACCCTTTTTAATTCATTCGGAAAAATTTAAATAATAATCTTGCGCCGCTCTTGTTGGAACAGCCGAATATATATAATAAAAATGCTTATTACAATATAAATAATATTTTATTCATTAAGCATTTAATAATGTAGACACATACATATTTTAAGTAAATATTTACACCTAGTCAACATACGTATATATATAACGTAACACTTAAATATAGTTCGCAGACAACACATACAAAACAGCTAATATTACTACAGAAAATAAATATTTATACATTTTAATCAGTTTAACATTAAAGTGCTAAAAATTTCAGAAAGGAAAATCTTTTTAACACAGTTCACGGTTGGAAATACACAAGTTTGTTAACAAGAATTCCTATTCGAAATACGCTTTAAGTTGGAATGATTATTTCTTATAATTATTATATGACATTAATTAACTACATCTTATACTGATTACGTAAACCGATTACATTATTTTTTAAGTTAATACATACAAAAATATAGGCCCGATAGAGAACTTTTAGTTGTCAGTAAAACGTTATAGTAACGAGTTATTAACATTATAATCGTAGGTATGTTTTAAAAACTCTTTAATTTTATAAAAATAAATTATATTATAATAGAACATTATTAAATAATGTTTATTAGGACTAGAAAATTATTTAAACTGAAATATTTAAGAGATTCGTACATCAGATACAAGTTTTGTAATCAGGTACTGTGATATAGAAAGAGAACAAAAATAACGGACAAAAAATAATAGACAAAACCTGCATTAACATTTTACAGAAAGAAAATAAAACGAACTAAATAAGGAACCAGTAACACTGGCTTAAATTACTCTAAAATGTCACCTTAACAATAAACATTGGCACTATCAAAGCGAGTGCAGTTAAAAATTTATTTAATCCTTAGAACTATAAATCAAATTGAGATCAAAAACAACAAATGGCTATTTACGATAATTGGATGAAATTTGCAAAAACGATCTTATTAATATTATCATTCACAATTCACAAAGCCAGAAGGTGATAGTATTTGTATTGGTAGTTTTAATATTATCACCTGTTCACCTTTTTTAGAATACCCAAGACTTAGTAAGTATCCTCAAAATATTTCTTCTTCTGTTGCACATTTAATAAATCGGCAAAAATTACCACTTCAATTTTGGTAGCACCAACACCGGAAAAACGAAAAAATTGCGCCTAGTCTCTAACCCTAAGCTGCTACATGGTTAATTTAATTAAACATAGCAGACAAAAATTACAGCCTATATACGTCCCACTGCTGGGCACAGGCCTCCCGCTCATTTCTGAGAGGGTTTTAGGGCAAGGAGTAGTCCGCCGCGCTGCCCCAATGTGTGTTGGCGAACTTTACATGTCTTCGAAATATATTTTTTTTCTAATTTCTAAGACATGCAGGTTTCCTCACGATGTTTTCGATGAAATAGAGCTTTCAAACATATTTTGAAGGGACATTACATATTTTATTATAAATTCGATATGGTATTATTTTACCGTTGATATTGAAGGAAGAAAAGCCATGTCAAATGACACAACATAGTATTATCTGTGCAAAAATAATAAATATGAGTTACGTTCTAAAACGTATATTTATATATTATAATATATAGATTATGGGTATTTGGAGAGGTAAAAAATAACGAAACATTTCACTGGGAATGTATCAAAATTATCGCATTTCTTTGGAATTGCGTCCCTGTACGAAAATTTTACTATTAATATACGTAATGAATGAGCTAGGATATTTTTTAATTTAAGTTTTTTTTATTTATTTTATTTAAAGCCAATCTTATTCAATAACGTGAGTAGGCTAACGAACAAGTTTTAAGTTCAAGTTTAAGAATATAAAGTTAATTATATGGAATTATTATTCAATCTACTTAATCACGTCATGTAAACAAATGTGATTACAGAATCTATACTTCATTATTTATATAAGAATATATTATATTATTCCTTCACACGACGACACACGAACAATCGTATATTTATGACCACGGAACACACACCATTAGTATTTTATTCGTCAGACTTTCTTAAAAAAATATATCCCAGTTCATGTCATTGACTTTAAGTAAAAGACAACCGTAACATATTAAGAACATTTGTGCTAAAATTTAATGATAGCGTTTGAGCTCTGGGAAAACTTCCAGGAGAACGAGTTCGAATATTTCCTGAAAAAGAAAAGAACTAATTAGTTATACGTAACAGAAATACATACATGCAACATTTATTAATTTCCAATCATAACGTTTTAAGTATGTGATGCGTCTTGACTATTAATTATTAGTGCTTACAGTTAGAAACGCAACCTATTATCTTTAAGGAGTTTAATCTTAAGTCTAAATGACTCGGTGGGTTTTAAATATGTATACAGTTCTGTAGATTAAATAGATTTGAAAATCTTTTGTATAAAATAAAGAAAAATAATCTCCTCTTCTATATGTTAAGTTATTTTTATCTATTTAACACTATATGCACACATAGTATACAAACGACTTTCTCAAAGTGCGATAATCATGTAACATAATTAACGCACTTTGAGAAAGTAGTTTGTTCAGAATCGTTTACTGAATCGATTCCTATAATTTTTAATATAGGTAATTTTTTATCCCAAAATAATTAAAACTACGTAAATTACTGTCACACTAAATCTGTACAGTCAAAACAAACTGAAATGGACCGTAACTTAAGGCAATAAGAATTTTAAGAGTGCAGTTTTATTTGTATTATTACTAATTACTAATTCTGTCATTCAATAAAAATAAAGGAAAATGAACTTTATTTCGTGGATTTGTACTGTGACCACAACATTCTTCCGGAATTAGTATAACTAATTTGATAAATAATCAGTGCATAAAAATGTTTAACTAAAAATTCAGTGTATGTATTATGATTATAACATAATATACTAATTGGGGTGTCTGAGGGTGTGCGTTAATTACGTTACATATTGTATACACGAACTTAATGCCGGATGTGTTCTCTACCAGTCCACCAAGAATGATGCAAAGATAGTACCTAGATGTAAAAAAGTTGAAATGAGAATACAAATAAATGTAAATTTGAAAATTTTGTAATACCTACATTTAAATATAATACATATGATGAAAATGGTATATCACAAATAATATAAAATAAACGTAAATAATAAGTATTTATAATACATAAGTATATAATAATACGACGAATAATACGACTGCCTCGTTGGTCTAGTAGTTGTAGTAGTGCGACTGCTGATCATGAGGTCCTGGGATCGAATCCCGGGTCGGGCCAAAAAATTAATTATTGACCATTTCCGTCAAGAAATTCTCAGTAGTTGCTCGGAGTCAGGAAGTTGGCGGTGTCTCACCCCTGTGCCTCGGAAAGCACGTAAAGCCATTGGTCCTGCGCCTGATCTCTTCGGTCGTGTCGGTTTACCGTGCCATCGGATTATGAGAGTGAACCACCGACAAGGGTTGGGCTTCCCCAGCCCGATCCTGCAGGGAAATAAAGTATCCCATAGAGACACATCAACGAGGGAATAGAGAGTGCACCTGTGCTTGCGCATACACTTGGGCACTATAATCCTGTCCTGCGCCGATGGCTAGCCTCCGTTGAGGCAGGCCGCTGTGGCCGAAATTCGGTCTGGAGGACATTATTATATAATAATAATAACACTTTGTAAAAAATCCATGCTGCAACACGGATGTGTTTCGTATGGTGAGGATAAAGAACCGGATATCCTTTTATTGGATAATACATATAGCCAATTGATAAATTAATTTTATTGTTTATGAGCCTTTTCGCTGCGGGATATACTCTTACAAGAGCTCTTTACAAGAATGTGCTAATGACGTACGTTAATTATAACATCTTGCCTATCACTCTGTATATATACATTAACCTATGCCTATCACTACGCTGGACAGATTGGTTGGTAAGTGTAGAGCCGACAGCACGGTAATAAGGCATACCCTTGTTCTTATGTTCGTTTATTGTAGCCCTTATACACTTACCATATATTGATTAGATTGTGCCTAATCAACATTTCTCCATTTATTTATATTCGTTATTATTGTTTAAATATTAATTAATTAGTCTTATATTCCTTTCATATTAATTCACTAACGGAAACAGTACGGTAATCAATCAATCAACCAATTTATTCTTTACTGTACACCAATACACACAAAAACGATCAAAATGAAATATATAAACAGAAAGTACAACAGGCGGTCTAATCGCCCTGGAAGCGATTTCTTCGAGACAAACTTTTTCCGCAAAGAACTATAATAATTAATAGTAATGTATTAGTGTTAGGCTGTAACCTATGTATGCGTTTCTATCCCCTTAACAACTATCCGGAGAAGTCTAATAAGCTAATAACCTAAAATATTAAAAAGGAAAATATATTATTTTCGGGAAATTATCACCACACGTCACATTAATCAATTACCGTTGCAAACAATTTTAGTAGCGCGGAACAGTTTTAGCCAATCGTCAACAACTTATATATCCAATTTTAGAACAGAGATCGCGTGATATTTCTGTGATACAAAATGTTAAAATTTGCGGAAGAATGCGCCGGAGTTTATTGCGCGATAATGTCTGGAGAATAGTGTGTTAAAAACAAATGACAAAACTGTGCTTTCAATGGATTTTCTTTTTGTTTATATTAAAACAAGTAACGTAACGCTTTTTGCAAAGATGTCTATTTTGTTCAGTGTAATAGCTAACAAAAAAAATATAATCCATAAATACGCTACTTGCGATGGAAACTTTATTGATATTGTGAGTGAAGTGTTGTCAAAAATATCGTTTAAAAATAATAAAATGACGTACATTCATGGACAGTATTTATTTAATTATGTAATTGAAAATGAATACGTGTACTTCTGTGTCACCGACAGGGTGCGTATAATTAAATCAAAAATTACTATTTTACATTACGAGTTAAAAACGAGTTAACAACAGTCTACCTAATTGTAAATGGCTACTTGAAGCCCATGGACGCCTGTCATTAATTCCAATCAAAGGTGACAGATGTGTTGCTTCACCCGAGCTACAAGATAAATTTCTGACAGCCTGTTATTATACTGGCTTTTTTCAAATAAGATAGATAGATAGACAACTCTTTATTGTAAACCAAAACAATACATAAACGAAAGAAGAAGAAAAAATAATAGTGTCACAATGGGCCGTCTTATCGATAATAGCGATTTATTCCAGACAACCTTTGGATGGATATGATCACAAAAAGCAGAAAATTGTGTGGTTTGGTGATCAAGACACAATATTTATAAATATATCCATGTAACATATAAAAATAAATAACATATAAATACATGAAAATACATAAATAGAGCCGTGGTAGCTCAGAAGAGCCGTGGTAGCTAAGATGGTTAACGCTCGCTGTAAATATAACAGACTGCGAGTAACCCGAGTTCGATCCCCGCCGGCACCAATGAAATTGTTAATTGCATCTTTAAGTGCTGATTTGCCACGTGCTCGGTGGTGAAGGAAAACATAGTGAGGAAACCTGAATGTCTGAGGAATAAGAAACATGTGAAGTTCGCCAACACGCATTGGGGCAACGCGGCGGACACTTCCTTGCCCTAAAACCCTCTCAGTAATGAGGGGAGGCCTGTGCTCAGCAGTGGGACGTATATAGGCTGTAACTTTACTTTAACTTTTACATAAATAGATGGTATACATATTAATGTATACATAATATTAAGATATACAGATATCCCATATTAAGGTATGTAACATGGATGCTTAGTAAATTAGTTAAATCAAAAACTAAAAGTAAAAAGAAAATATAAAAACACTACTTCTATTTATAAATTGTTAATATATATATATATATATATATATATTATGTGTAAACATGTTTATACTTTATCATTAGACTTGTCAACGATCAAGAGCGTTTCTTTTCCTAAATGAAATTAAGAGAAGTTTCACTCATAAGAATACAGAAGACTTTACTAGTATATTAGAAACAGAAATGTCGCGCTACAGTCAAGAATATAGTCATATAAAAATTTTGGATGGAGAACTGGATGAAATTAATAAGATCGATATTGAAAGCAGCGGTAAGTTGACACTTCAATCTGTTAATGATTACTTTGATGAAATTGCTTTGAAGAAAATTAAGTATCAAAAATCCTTCAATGTCATTAAACACACGAAATAAGCATCTCGTATGTACGAGTACGTCGTCTGATACCAGTTGTGTGTAGATTAAGGCAAATTCTTTCTAACATTTGTTAGAATATAGTCTGACTTTTTTTAACCTCCCACAAAAAGAGAGGGTGTGTCTGTCTGTGGCGTTATAGCTCTTGGGCTCTTTAGGTTTCCAGGGTTTTTAAATTTTTTAATTTAAGTTATTTACGGATTGATGATGAAGTAATTTATTTTATACAATTGTATGCCACATATATTTTTTTATAAAATTGAGATGACAAACAAAGTGCGTGTTACCAGTGATGACCTACGGAACCGAGACGTGGTCCTTCACTGCTGGCCGTATGAGGACGCTCAGCGAGCTATGGAGAAGTCTATGCTCGGGGTTTCTCTGCGTGATAAACTTAGAAATGAGGATATTCGCAGTAGAACCAGAGTGACCTACATAGCCCAACGGATTAGTAAGCTGAAGTGGCAATGGGCCGGCCATATAGCTCGAAGAACCGACAACCTTTGGCGAAAAAAGTTTCTCGAGTGGCAACCTCGTACCGGTAGGCGAAGTGTAGGCCGACCCCCCACTAGATGGAGTGACGACCTGGTAAGACATGCAGGAAGTCGATGGATGCAGGTTTCTCAGGACCGTGCTTTATGGCATACCTTGGGGGAGGCCTATGTTCAGCAGTGGACTTGTGAAGGGCTGTAACGATGATGATGATGAAACAAAGTGATAGTCCATCTGATGATAATTATCTGATGTAGCCATTGACACACCAACTTCAAATGAAGAAGTTCCAGATGCGGGTTATTCAAGTAAAGTAAAATTTAGAGCAAGCGCTTAGCCCCTGAGTTACCACAGCTCTATAATATATTTCCATTATCCAAACAGTAAACCAATAACAACCGCCACATACATACGGAATCCAGAATTCCAATACTGGATTCCGAACGCAGCAAGCCCATATAAAATCAAAGACCCGTCACAAACCTAAGGCAGTTTTCCGTGCAAAATTTTTTCAAAACGGATTCCGTATGTGTGTTCGACCCGTTCGTCCCGTTTCGGGATTCCGTTGCGGAATTCCATGTTTATGTAGCCGGCCTAAAAGTCCACTGTTCAAACATAGACCTTCGTTGTAAAAAATTACAGGAGAAGTCTAAATTGGGCTGCCACATAAGGAGGACGTTTTATTTTATTCCTAGTAACCTTTACATTATTAAAATTTGATGTACAACTAATTCTCTTTCGTATTTATTAGAATATGACTTTGTATTGGAACTATACTTTTATTTAAGTGGTAAATCTGTATTAAATTTGATATTAAATAATATTGACATTATTACAGAGAGCATACTTGGTGAGAAAATTTTACTAATCAAAAATGAAGATAATAGTTTGGAATTTAGTGTAAGTTTATTTTTTTATCTCGATAATACTATACAATAGGCAACCATCTAATAACATTTTTTTTTATTTCAGACAATAACATCCATGGGAAAACCTCCGCAGAAAATTACTGTATCCATCGAAAGAAAGAACTTATATACAATAATTGTCATCGCCCTAATTATCATAGTGTTAATAATGTACATTTTAGGACCTTTAATATTAATAACTATTATAGGTGTATTTTTAATAGATACAGTTAATCGAAAAAATATAAAAAGTTAATATGCCTAATTTTACTTTTAATATCGAATAAAACAAATGTAGTCTAAAAAGTATCATATTATATTTCCACCTTTTATAATTTTTATAATAATAAGGGTATGTAGGTATTATATAAAATGAAACGAGCCAAAAGTAAAAATATTCAAGGTTCGTCAAATATTATTTCTCAAAAAAAAAGGAACGAAGAAAGCCAAGCCCATAAGCCAAATAATGTCGTTGATGGTCAAATTTACCATAAATAAATAATCTTTTAAAACCTGTACGTCATTTTATGTTGTGATTTTCAAAATGACAAGCATCTGGGAAGTTACCTCCCTCTAAACTTATTCTTCTGCAAAGCAGTTACTATCTTAACACGCTCCTAATTAAACTTATTATTTTATTTATTTAATTTAACCTACTCTAAATTGCAAAAGAACAAAAAGCTATATTCAAGGAATTTATTTATAGTTTTAAGTATAATAGATTGTTTCGCATATCCTACACAACGGACTTGGAAGTAAGTGCGTTGTGCGCATTAAAATATCAGTTTTATTATATATTCTTATCTACACTTTAGGAAAAACATAACCGTTGAGATAATATGACACGTATTTCGCCTCTAAACAAGGCATCGACAGAATAAATTCAAGATTCACAATGCCTGTATTAGTCTCCGCCTTACCAAATCCGCACTAGCGTGATACGCCCTCATCAACGTTAAAAGCAAAAATAACTATCAACCTACGTTACGACGTGTCCATTAGATAGCTGGCAACCAATATATTTTAGCTCGCAGACGTAACCAAACACATACATATTTTTAAAATTACTGACAATATTCGTAGAACGTAAATAATAACTGATCTAAACTCAAGAAATTCATTAATAGAATCAAGCGTTACTTTGCGGAAATCCATTATATTAAAGTTGTTAAGAATTACTACGCTCAAATCCGCTCTAATGAACTTATTAAATGATGTCTTACCAGTGGTGAAGCCTCCATAGAAGCCCAGAAGCCGGGCTTGCTCTATAAAAATGCTCAATCAATAATATCAACTAATAAAATAACTCGTAAACTGTTTCAAACTATTTCAAAGGGCATGACCTCGTAGCATATAATATGTAACGTCAACACTTGGCAGTTTGCTTTCAATTCGAAATACACTGGACTGTCAAAATTAATTAAACCACTGCTGCTGTGTAAACCGGATATGTATGTATCAGAATAATAACAGGCTCTGATGCACTCCGTCTTAGTTCTCAGAGGCGACAACGCATTTGTAGCCTTCGTTATTTGAAATTGGTTGCAGACGTCCATGGACAGTAGCCACAGTAAGTTCGTACGCTGTAAATTTTATAAAACAATGTACATTTTCATGTGACAACAATTGTTATTAAATGTAACGCATGTGTTTATTTAGGAATATTAATGTGTACTAGTGGTCACCTTGTGGTATACTTTTTATATGAAGTAAGGTGTACATATTTCACTTTCAACTGCATTTTAAAACACACACAAAACAAACATATAAAATGTAAAATAAACGCTCTTTTGCCTTGATATACACATCACAAACTATTGAAAAAAGAACATTTGAAATCACACAAAATTATTTGTTGGCAACATTTTATAATTTTTTTTAGCTTGCTGATGTGTATGACATTGGCAGTATGTATGAATAATGAATGTTGTATTATACATTACTTAATGTATTTGTAACACCTATTAGATATAAATTTTAGCTTCCTGCACTTCTCTATATAAACTTTGACTATGCTAAATCTCACCTTTCTCCGTACGCGCAGCTTGAAGTGGAACAAAGTTTTCCCTTCACGTATTAATATATATAGATATGTGTGCAAATTTTAATCTTAATTTAACTCTTTATGCGCGATTAATTTAAAATTTCCAAAAATTTTCACAGGATTTAAATAAAAAAAGTAAAATTTCGATCCTCAATTAAAGAATCATAGAGAAATTCACCAAGGCTTCATGTTCAATCTTGACATATTATTAAAAACTACATTTTTTATTTAATTTTAGAAATAGGTTTCTTCATAGAATACTATAATACATACATATTAGAACGGGGGAGTGGGCGGAGCCCGTATAGCCACTAATACGTCAATTCACACGTATAAATGTCAACACGAGATGTGTTTTGACGTTACAATCGTTTCCAAATTTCGCATGCAAATTATTTAGAAAATGCCAAATTGCACGCTATTTACAAATAAATGTGTATTAAAAATCCGTCTGTCAACAAAGCAAATCGGGTTCGTAGTAGTGAGATTAACTGATAATACGACGTAATTGTTTGTATGTGTGCTCCCAGCGACGCCAAACCTCGGTACAAAACAAGGTTGACAGCCATTCTGTTATAGTAGTATTCTATGGTTTTCTTCGTCGGTTTTTTTTTTGCCCGAAATTACAGACAAACCAAAAATGTCATTGTTGCTTGTGTTAAAAAACTTATTATGAATATTTAAATTATTCTCTTATTAAAAACTAAGTTGAGAAGTTAATAATATGGTTATTTTTAAAGGCAAGAAAAACTGCTTCGACAACCATTACAGCCTATTAAAGTCCACTGCTTAACATAGGACTCCCTCGTAGATTGGCTCATCAATGGGTCATTTGCTGTAGTTGCCACGGTTGGCAAGCGGGTTGGCAACCGCAGTTTTTATTGTCGTTATTAGTAAGACGCTGCTGCTCATCTCCTGGTTTGTTTCTCGTTGTCGTCTCTTACGATACCCACAGGATGATGTGGCGTAGTGGTTATTCTCACACCGTCTCTACACGGCGAACATGTGTACGTGCTTTGGCAAATGTGCAAATTTAAGAAGATAAGAATATAATATACGCAGTAAAACCATAGTGACAAACATAGCCCAACGTTGGGCTATGTACACCGGTGGTCGGTTCTTGGAGCTATATGGGCCAGCTTAAAGAACCGATAACCGATGAGAAAAGAAGTTCTCGAGTGGCAGCCTCATATCGGTAAGCCAAGTTTAGGGCGACCCCCCACTATATGGAAGAACGACCTGGTAAGACAGGCAGGAAGTCGATGGATACAGGTGGCTCAGGGCCGTGCTTTGTGGCATTCCTTGTTGGTCTATGTTCAGCAGTGGACTTATGAAGGGCTGTAATGATGACGATGAAGAATATAATGCAATGCATGTCTCACGTAGAAGAGCTGCTTGTTGTGCGTGGTGTGCTGCAGGGTGTGGAAGAGCTTGCTCGCGCCGCGTGCGGCGGCGGGCGCACCCACCAGCGAGCCCAGCGCGCGCGCTGCGCTCTCCGACAGCTGCTGCAGCGCTCGCGCGCGCGTCGCACCTGCACATAGGGTTACCACCTCAGGTTTTATCACAAACAACCACATACTCTACCAGATACTAAGTACATGCTGCGCCCCATACACATCTACATCTATACTCGATTAAAAATCAAAATGCAGATGCGTTTCCACCCCTGACTATGATACCCTGTTTCCAGTAAAAACGCTCTCCAGTTCTTTTCGCTCGCCAAGCTTTCAACTTTCAAGCTCCACTTTACGCTGGGATTCTATAAGAGCGTGAGCCTTACCCGGTCAAATGATCCATCCACGCTACAACCAAAATATAGCTGCAGCGTGGCTCTACCACGTGTGACCACGCGTGGCAATACATTTAAGAGGACTTGTTAAGATTAAATAAAGGACATAAAATAAAAATGAAGGATATCAATTTTTTTATTAAAATGCTATTATAAGTATGTGTGAGAAAATTTATTAATAAAAAATACTTCAAACATACTTAGTCTGTGCCATAAAAATCTACAGCCCAAATTTCACTGCTGAACTTAAGCTTCTAGTTTCCCCATTTGGCGAGGGGGGGGGGGCATAATTGCCACGCCTGGCAGGCGAGTTAGCAACCGCATTTTTTTATTATTTTTAATTGTTATCAGTAAGATACTGCTGCCCATCTCCTGTTCCAGTTTCCCTATTTCGTCTCTTACGATATAGGGTAGTGGATATCCTTACACCGCCACTGCACCCACGGTTGAAGTACTACGTGACCAACACAAATAGGCACATGCCAGCTAAGACGTCATTAGAACTAGGGAGGAAACAAAGAACGGTGGTTGATCACTAGAGCAGGCGCAGGGATAGAGTCGGGGCCTAATTGTTTTGGCTAAAATGTAATACTATGTACTATACACTGAAAGATTACAACCAATATTTGAATAATGACTAATGCTTATATTCCATGGGTCGTTCAGCGAAATCGGCTTGTAGGGAACTCTCGTACATTTCACACGAACATACATTCATACACTCACACATACACGCATTTACATTATACACACTTCTTATCTGCTGGCCGACGAATCCTATGGAGCGCCTAGAGGAGCGCTTTCATAGGCAACTGAAGGCATCAATAATGTGCCACGCACGAGACAAGTGGACCGAGCCGCTGCCCTGGATATTGCTGGGCATACGCAGCTCCTTTAAGGAAGACTTACAGGCGTCTTCCGCCGAACTACTATATGGCGAACGATAAAAGCTGCCTGGAGAATTCTTCGAGTCTCAAGACGACAACGCAGCGGGTATGACTGAGTTCATATCCCGCTTACGTACTTCCTCTCAAAAAATTACACCCAGTGCCAGCGTCTCGCCATAATAGTGATAAATGTTTTATTTTTAAAGACCTAGCTAACTGTGGACACGTCTTCTTGCGGGAGGATGCATCTCGTGGATCCCTTCAGACCGCATATAGTTGACCACACAAAGCGTTGGCTAGGACAGACAAAACATTTAACATATTAATTAACGGCAAATCATCCATCGTGTCAGTTGACCGACTTGGGCTTGTAAGAATTCGCAACGCAGAAAATTGCGACACGAATTGCTGCGATGCGATTTTGTGCGGCAAGGCGTCTTCCTTCTACGATTAGGATGACCATTCCTTCGACGACCGTCAACCGTACTAAACGTATTTTGAAAACTAGCTCGTGACATGGATCGTAAAAAGAAGTGTGCCCTTTTGTTATTGCTAAGGAGATACAGGAAAAAGAAAAAAAGAAGATTTTGGGTTCATCCATTTATTACTATTATGAATGCCGATGGGAACTATTTTCATCTAAAATATGAAGCTTTGAAAACCGACGAAAAAAATTTTTTCATTATTTTAGAATGAGCATTTAAGAGCTTTTAAGTTTATTATCACCATATCTTCATAAACGATCGTACAAGGGGAGAATTCCTGTTATGCCTCTGGAAATGATTGGCCTCACCATCCGGTAAGTAAAGTAAAACAATAATTGTTCACATTAGTATTTATTGAGAAAAGAGGTTTTCCAAATATTACAATCGATAAAATTTACGAAAAATCAAACTCTTCTTCCGTTGAAAGTGTGCTTAATATGCTTGAGTTAGAAAAATCATTACTAGGTGAATCAATTTGATCTGGTATGTTAGATGATTGTGGACGTATCAGTGGCGTTTGTTGAGATGTTGCAAAATGTTGAGTCTGATAGCCACCCTGGTAGTTGCTATTCGGACAGTAGTAGCCATGAGGTTGATGCAATTCTGTTAAAATTTGAAGAACTCTGCTTTTAAAGATTAGTGTTTTATTGTCATCTAATCTTTCAAGTGATGGTAGAATACCTTTAAAAAAAAGATATGTGTCTATTCTCCGGTTCCTTTAAAATCTTTAATAATATCATCTTCAAAATTATTACTAACAATCTTTCTTTTTGTTGGCTGCTTTTGGTAACGTTTTTCAGATGTACCTTCTTGATTATCTTGCTCATTTTGTTTCATTTATACTGGTAGTGGTCTCATTTTGTAAATTTTTCTTAAGAAATTGCAATTGTTTGTATAGATGATATTCTTTAATATTTTTTGATCCAGACCCTGACCTACATGCATCTCTGAGTTTCTTTTCATACTTATTAAAGGTATCCTTAATCCCCCTCTATCTTTGTATTACTGAATTACCTACAAAAAAATATAAAAAATATTTTTTTATTTATTTTATAGGAAATCTAACAGGTGCAATAAAATCTTAATCTTAAATCTTAATTTATGCTGAAGTTCGTGGGCCCCCATGGGTAAGGTATATTTTCAACTAGGGGAGACTGGGGCTGGTTGTAACATTTTTTTATAAAGTGTCGCAATTTTTTGTTTATTTGATTGTTTTACCGGAATGTAGGTTTGTTTGAATAAGTAATTATTCAGGTTATGTTGGGAAGTGACATAAATGAATTAATTCTGGGAAAAGAGGCGTGTAATTTTTAGCCCCGCGTCAGGGGCTGGTTGTTACACTATAAGGGGCAAAATGTTACAACAAAAACCAAATGTAATATAACACTTTTTATTGAGAATAATGACAGTTTATAACAATTATTATGTATACAATATCAAACTATATTTTTATATAACAGTCTTTTGCCTCATTAAAATAAAAACACAGTAACTTCGTTGAACAAAATAATAATCTTATTTTTTAGACTTACGCCTTATAAAAATAAAATTTGGGTAACTTCCAACCGGCAGAAAATTATAAATTTCTTTATTAAACAAAAGCTTAGTATAAATTGAAGATGAACAAAAATAAAAAATAAAATTACAAATAAAATAAGTCAAATATATCAGTCGGCAAGCAGCACTACGGGGTAGGTAGTAACAAGTAACAACCTTCCCCGAGAAAATGTCACTTTTAGCCCCTACGCCAAAACTGACCTTTTAAGATTAAGTAGTAAAAACACAAATAAGTATAACTGTATAAACGTAAATTCGTTGCAATAAGAAAGGATTAGGGTACACATATCACAACACAGACATATCTGCTTTAAAGGAAAAGAGGTTTTAGACCAATATTACGAAAAAACGAAAATGTTACTAACATGCGGTTTTGACGGCAACATGTACGGGCTCCTCTCACAAAAGCCCTGGCGCCACAGGTTCGCGCGGCGTGCTAGCCGATGGTCGTTGATCATTTGTATCTTTCTCACGACAATACAGCGTTCTCAGTTTAGCCACCGTTGCCGCTGTAACTACCTACCCCTGTCACTACCAGCCCAAGTCTCCCCTACTTGTATTGAGTCTGGGTGTTTATATAATATATGATATGTATTTATTTACGAAAAAAATGTATTTATCAGTTAACTAGCACTCATAGTACAAGCTTAGCTTAGTTTGGGACTAGATGGCGGGGTGAATAGTCCAAGCTATTATTATAATATATGTATGTTTATGTCGTTTTAGGTTAATATTCTTTACTTTTCAAGTTTGTTATATAAATTAATCCTAATTTTTAATTATTATCGAGGAGTAAGTACAGTTGCTAAGATAATGCGATTAGTTTGTAGCGCAATATGGAAACATTGTTTAAATGCAAACATACCAAAAATAACGCAACAGCTGCTTGAAGAAATTGCTGCAGGCGTTGACAAGAAAGCCAACTTCCCTAACTGTATTGGAGCCGTTGATGGGAAACATATTCGTATTCGTAGTCCCCTAAACAGTGGATCACTTTTTTTAATTACAAGAGCTACAATTCAATAGTTTTGTTGGGTATTGTTGACTCGGAATACAGATTCATCTATGTGGACATAGGAGCATATGGAAAGGAAAGCGACTCCACTATTTTCCACAACACGAAACTGTGACTTACTGATGAGAGGTGATTTACCTACACCGATATCGAGGCCGTTACCGGGCTTTCAAGAACCGGTTCCATTTGTTTTTGTCGGGGACGAAGCTTTTTCTATTTCGAATAATGCCATGCGCCCTTATTCGGGCAAGCATTTGTCTGTCTAACAAAGAGTATTCAACTACCGTTTGAGTAGGGCAAGAAGATATGTCGAGTGTACTTTCGGTATACTGGCGAATAAGTGGCGAATATTTCACCGGCCCATTAACGTCTCATATGATTTTGCAATAGACATTGTCAAGGCTTGTTGGATATTACATAACTTTGTACTTAACCGTGATGGATTAGAAACCCCTGTTGAAATGGTCAAAGATGATTCCGAACTACACCACTCCAACAACGTTTGAATGTAGGTAGTCAGGTAGTAAGTGCAAATATAATAAGAAACGAATATCCGGATTACTTTAATAGTGAAGTTGGGGCATTAAGCTGGCAACTACAAAAAATTTGAGAATATACAATGCCGCTTGCATGTTGCTCGCTTTCTAACCGAAGTAATAAGTCAATAGAACAGGTACAAAAGGATCACACCGCAAAGACAAAAAAGTGACTCGCTCTCGATGCGAAAACATTTGTAAACAATTTAAAGAATATTTTTTGTGATTATATGTATAGAATGTTTGATTTGTAGGTAGTTTAAGTAAAAAGTTAAAAGAAGTTGTAATAAATGTATTTGTCTACTTACCAAGTTTAGTTTTTTCATTGTTTTCTTTTTCCTCGAAATTTGGAAATAAACTTTTACATACGTTCTTCCAAGCTTCTTGTTTGATGAATTTATTTTTATAATCTTCGTTACTAGTGTCCCAAAGAACAGGGCGCTCCTCAATCAGTGATATAAAAAAATCAACGTCGTACTCTGTCATTTTTTTACTTTAAAGTATACGTCTTACCCACACGCTGTCGCAGACCGAACTAAAAATGGCGTCAACAAGTGTGACGTAACATCGCAGGAATGCGCGATGCGAATCAATTCGCAAGTTCTTGCGATGCGTCGAGGGAGCTCGCAGATTTTTACGACGCGACGTCGCATTGCAATTTTGTGTACAAGCCCTAAAACCAGCCTATATATTGTGTGAAGCCCCGAATCAAGATCATGTCCAAAACTATTTGAACAACTTGAACGAATATACCACACGTTCAGGACGTAAAGTGAAATTCACTGATTTTTATCGCCCTTAACCAGGTCTTTGGAGGGGTGATGTTGGGGACTCTCGTACATTTCACACGAACATACATTCATACACTCACACACACACACGCATTTACACTATACACATTCTTATCTGCTGGCCGACGAATCGTAGGTTCGATTCCGCGCGACGCCCTCGAAACAAGACCATATTTGGTAATAGATGTTGATAATTGAAGCAAGACCTTATATGATAATATCGTGCGCAGTGGTTGCAGCCGGCGGTATTTAAGCGCCGCCCCCTTGACCGATGGTTCAGTTGCTCAGTCGATTACGTATTTCGACGCGGAGATACTGTCGCTTTGTCGCACGATCTAAAATTACTTACGTGTGCCGATCTATTGTTAATTTATTATCTTGTGTTTATTTTCTCTTCTATCTCTGTACTTCTTTCTTATTGTAAATACTCCCGTTGCATTCTCCTTCTGTCTATTATTTCAGTGTAACTTTATATTTGTGTGAGAACATTAAGTCGCGAGTGTTAGTACAGAACTGTCTTTTATTTGTACAACTCCTACGCGCACCGAGCAGTTATCGCACCCCACAACATTGTGACGCCTACACTAGCTCCCACAGGCTAAAAGAAACACTCTTCTACATCAACCCCACAGTTCACTTTTAGAAACGGATACATCTATAATAGGAAGCATTTGCTATAATCGCAGCGCTTGGCAGACAGTTTGGCAACAGCAGTACAAGACGTTTGCATATCTTATACTGTTTCCCGATCTTGCTTTTTTACATCTAACATACTAAATAATATATTGAGAACCACAACATAGTCCTGGTAATTTCCAGCCACCTTTTGTGACACCTAAGGGGCGAAATGGGGGTAATGGAGTCTCTTACACTACCAAACACACTACGACAAAGGACTGTAATAATATCCACTATCGCCCTATCCTTTGATGGGTGGATAAGTCTGTAAGTCTGTTAAACAGTAGAAATCTTAACCAAGACAGCATTTTCCCGCCCACACTTATCTATTATTGCAAAATTAATTTATAAATCTTAATAATATTTTTTTGGAGAATAACTTGCCTTTATCGCGAATGTTTCTATTTGGAGAGGTGTCACTGAGAACACCGCCAGGCCACCAAGATTTGAGCACTAAACTTATATAGTAATGTAACATGTGCTCTGAAAATAGCCAAGATATTGTCTCCTTAATTTGTCTGCAACAAAAGATGGTATTTGATGATAAATGGATAATAAACATGATACATAAGACGAAGGAATTTCAAAACGATATTTTTTATAATATCACACAATTAGAATTTTCAAGGCTACTGAACTAGAAAAGATAGGGTATCAGCTCAATAACCTCTTTAGTATCTTCCATCGGATAGATCTAATGATAATCAAGGACAACCTAGACGTCTCACTTGTGCCGGTAGTTATTTAGACTACTCCGCTCCAAGTTGTTGACAAATACGTTTACCTAGGCCAAATTGTCCGACTAGATAAGTCCAGCTTCAACCAAGAGCAAGGCAGCGTTCTAGAGATTAAAGATAAAACTTCCCGTCACGTATTCCACAAAACTTGAAAACAAGAGGTCCTTCACTGCTTGTACGAACAGATCAGTAAGCTGACGTGGTAATAAGCCGGCCGCATAGCTCGAAAAACCGACATCTATTTTATTTCACACTTAAATACCAATTTAATAGTTAAAAGTACTAAGTGATGTTTATTTTATAATTTATTTCGTATATTTTTATCTATAATAGTTTAAAATTAAATATAAAATAAATTGATAAATCATTTTTAAAACAGTGAAGGTAATTAAATAATAACCATTCACGAGGCTACATGGTAACTTGTCGACCTTTAAACTGCTCTTCCAAATAATTTACAATCCTGTAATTAGCACAGTTTACACCTGTAAACAGCTGCAGTTTGTCTTCTAGACCATCGATATTATTATTGTTATAAAAGTTTAAAATACCTAATAAGAAATCATTTTATACCTATTTATGGTCCTGCCATAAGTGATTTGGACAAATGTCACCAACGTTTTCCTAAGCCATCGAAACACGCCGCGCATGTCGAAGACTTCACTCAACAAAGCATACAGAGGTTCTGCTATGCTGTCTCTTTCTTCGACCATTGGTCCCGCTCCTACAAAATAAATAAATAAATAATTCATACCTTGCTAATTTTAAGTTGTGAATGAATAGTGTGTGTTCATGTCTAGATGCGGATGGATGGAGTCGTGTTTGCTAAGGGCTAAATGCCGCCGTAAAATATCATACCATGCGAGAAACCTAGGTTCGGTCCCCGCTGACATGAATTGTTAATTTATAATTTACTAGTGATCCGCCCCAGTTTCACACTTCTGGATCTCGACAACAACGCCATCTACCGGAATCAAATGTGAATATAAGCTATCCAGAGACCCATTCAAACATCCACAACAAAATTCAACAAAATCTTTGTTTTATATAGATAGATAATATTACACAAACACACATACATCCACATTCCTTGAATAAACTGGACTATTTTATTTTTCATTTGCATTTATTTAGACTTAAATGTAGCGTACTTTCCACCGAATCGCAGTCCTACTATGTATTTATCGGAGTGAACAATGTTAGTCAATGTTCTTGGTTACTGCGATACAAGCCTAGAGCTTTGTGCCGAAACCACTGCATTGTTTAGTTATGTAATGACTTTTTGGTTAAATATACAGGTTGTTTGGAAAATGGGTGCAAAACCTAAAAGGGTTAATACCTTAAACCTTGAGAACATATTAAGCTAAACTTGTCTTAGACGAAGTCTGCTCTTTTTTTAATTGAATTTCTAAGGTTTTTAACAATAAAACCCTTTTTTTCCAATTAATTGCTAATACTGTCTATAAAAAACAATATAGTAACAGTTATTATGTTATTGCTTTTCATTATATGTTTTCAAATAAATAAATGTGGTTATTTACTACGTCCGCGGCGATAAAGGAAAATATCGTAAGACAAGCAGGGTGATGTGTGAGAAATATAATATATACATATATATATATATATATATATATATATATATATATATATATATATATATATATAGTGCGATAGTGCATCAATTATGGATGCAAGTAGATAAGATCTTAGTATCAACACCGCGATATAGGGAAAACTGAGTGGATTACTGACGAAATCTTAAATTTGATGGATTTAAGACGTGAAAATAAATTAAAAAAAGAAAAGTATGATTCAATACAGCTTTCGATACGGAAGAAAATAAGACAGGCAAAAGAAAAGTGGTATGGTGATCTTTGTTCTGAGATTGAAGAATTGGACAAAAAGTTTGACTATTTTAATATGCATAAGAAGATTAAAGAGGTTATATCCCCTAAACATCAAGGACGCACACAAACAACTCTTCTTAATAAAGATTGCAAATATGCCTCTTGCACAGATGACATGTTGATACTCGTAACTTGTGGGAGCAATATGTAACTGAACTCTTCTGTGACACTCGGTCTGATCCTGTTGATTTCATTTGCGAAGACACGGGACCGGCTATTACAAGGAGTGAGGTCTATTACGCCATCAGAAATGCAAAAACAAGGAAAGCTGTTGGTCCCGATGACATACCAGTCGACGTAATTAAAGTGATTGAGGAGTATAATCTGGATTATTTTATTAGCCTCTTCAACGCTATTTACAACTCCGGCACGATTCCATCCGACTGGCTCAAATCGACATTCATCACCTTACCCAAGCTCAGGAATCCTAAAAGATGCAGTGATTATCGTACCATTTCGCTCATGAGTCATGTTTTGAAGCTGTTCTTAAAGATAATCTATAATAGAATTTACTCAAAATGTGAGTCCGTACTATCATATACTCAGTTTGGTTTTAGAAGCGGTTTGGGAACTAGAGACGCACTTTTTGGCTATCAAGTGCTAGTACAAAGGTGTTGGGATATGAATAAAGATCTGTTTGTCTGCTTTATTGACTATGAAAAAGCCTTCGACCGCGTTCAACATGGCAAGTTGATTGAAATACTTCAGAAAATTGGCTTAGACTTCAACGACCGCCGATTCATAAAAAACTTATACTGAAGCCAGCGTGTAAATATAAGGGTCAACGGGAAATCATCGTCATACATTGACATAGAAAGAGGGGTACGACAAGGATGTATTTTGTCACCCTTACTGTTTAATTTGTATGCTGAAGCCATATTTTCAGAGGCACTAGATAACAGTCCAGACGGCATATCAACTAATGGCAAATTGTTAAGCAACATTAGGTACGCAGACGACACGATATTAATCGCCGATAGTCTTGTGGGTCTTCAAAGGTTAGTAGATTCAGTGGCTTCCGTTAGTGTTGAATACGGTATTAACATCAATGCCAATAAGACGAAGTACATGGTACAGCCGAACACCTGAGCTTATCACGTCTTTATCCCTAAATGGTCAGGGTCTTGAACGGGTCACCAAATTCAAATATCTAGGCACAATGGTTGACGAAACAGGAGATCACAGCCTCGAAATACGATGCAGAATAGAGCAGGCACGCAACACCTTTTCGAGAATGAAGAAAGTTCTTTGTGACCGGAACCTAAGTATTTCTCTTCGAACACGCATAGCGCGGTGCTATGTCTTTTCTGTACTTCTCTATGGTGTAGAAGCTTGGACGCTGACAGAAGCCATGTCTAACAAACTGGAAGCGTTTGAGATGTGGGTGTACAGACGTATGCTAAGAATTTCTTGGAGAGACCGCGTAAGAAACATCACCGTGCTACAAAGAATGGGGAAAGTCACAGAGATACTTACAACCATAAAGAGGAGGAAATTGGAATATTTCGGGCACGTGATGCGTAACACCAAAAAATATGAACTCCTTCAACTTATCATTCAGGGGAAAGTGGCAGGCAGAAGGAGGCCTGGCCGCAGAAGGATATCGTGGCTGAAGAACTTGGGCCAGTGGTTCGGGAAGAGCACAAAATCACTGTTTAGAGCAGCGGTCTCAAAAGTTGAAATCGCCCTAATGATTGCCAACCTTCGCAAGGAGACGGCACATTAAGAAGAAGAATATAGTGCGAAGTCCACTAATACACGCAGGAACAGCGCCATAACCCTTTCAGATATGAAATGAGGCCCATATAATATACAAAAGGCTCTCAGCCCACTATTACTTTCTTAAAAACCGATTACTTTTTAAAATTCTCATAAAATTTGGTACATCGTTGTTAAGCGTTGATTTTTGTCGCGTTGTTACGATGTAAGAGAATTTATCAACCCATCACAACTCAGGGCTGCTGCAAGAACTAATTAAGGGGTATGTCTGGTAGATTATATGGTCTCCAATAGTATAACTGTCTCGTATATAATGTAAAATACTGGGACCGGGGACGATCAGCAACGTCAATATCAGTCGTCCCATCAATTTCATATGGATGGAACTAATGAAATTTTTTAAATTATCTTCCCCTCCCCCCCTTTGAGAGGTTTATGTGCAACAGTGGACTATTACGAGCTCATTATCAATAAGTAAATAATAAACAGAACGATGAGATGTCAAGATACGTAGATCAGTGTCACATTGAGATACTGACAATAGATATTACGGCCTATTGAACCACTTTTAGGGGAGGTTAAACCTAATAGCGGATTGGTTACCATTATTATAAATAATTTATAATTAAACGCTTATGCCCTGAGTTATAACCAAAAAGTATGTACGAATCAAAAACTCTGCAATATCTCCGTTTTTTACTAATAATAGTTAAAAGTTAATTAGCAGCTATAAATAGCAACATTGAAAAAAATTAATTAAAATGCCAATCAACTTCTTGAAGAATTTATAAAAAGTCATTTTGATCGACGTTTACTATTTTCGCACATGATGATTTTTCTCATCACAAAATTGCGGCCGACGCAGTAATTCCCTGCTATAAATAAATAGGAGAAAGTGCCAACGAAATATTTATTTACGTGTTCATATTTCTGTGGGCGATACGACGATACGATGAGATAACGATTCAAAACTAGTACCAATAAATATAATTGGCTTTTTTATATACAGTACACAGCTGAACCTTTCACATAGTTTTTCATAATCGCCATGATTGATAGACAGATAAGTGACCGTAATATTGTCAGACTCCTCGACGTCTCTTTGACGCTGCTTCAAGTCAATCGATCAATCAATATATTCTTTATTGTACACTAATACACATAAAAAAACAGAAGAAATGAAATATATATGTAGAAAGTACAACAGGCAATCTTATTGCTCTGGAAGCGATTTCTTCCAGACAACCCTTATCGCCGGTCATTACAGTACCATCTATCGAAGTCTACGAAATATATCGGGTATTTGCTTACATAGAATTAACAGAGGAAAGGGTTCTGTTAAACATATGCTGCATTTATTTAAACAATTACATTTCAATATTTTTTTATCATTTTCCGTCGACATGTTTTTGTAAACATTTTAATAACTAATAACCTGGTATACGCATACGAATTTTATTGCGTTTAATTTAACTTTATTAATTCCCGACGTTTCGGGCACTTTACACCGATGTCAAATACAAATGACAACGTCGGTACAGAACGCAACCCGTAGACAGAGAAACCTATAGACAAATTGACGACTTCTTTCGCATTCGCACACGAAAAAGATTTATGCATACGTCTTGCATAGAAATGAGACAGAGCGGTGTGATTGTTTGTCCCATTCTCCGTGCCGGTTTTTTTTTTTAAAGTTCGTAGCGATCTAAGGAGCTTACAAGTTGGTTCAAGTGAGAAAAAAGTGTTTTGTGAGCTTAAGATTGGTGAATCTTGTTTAGTTCAGTTCTTAGAACAATTAAATTTTTTATCTAAATATGTTTAAAAGTCATAAAGATTATTGTATAACCTAAAACTACGTTATCGTCCTTTCTTCGCCACGCTAATCATTAGTCTATAGGTTTCTCTGTTTACGATGCAACCGTTGACCATAGCCGCGAATAATAAACAAAGCACGGCCTATAATCTGTCAAAACAAACACTGGTTGAACCTATGGAGTGTAGAAATAAGGAATACCAACTCCCATAGTAAAATAGTTGAAAAAGTGTCCATCTGTATAAGCAGTAAATAACATAATGATTTCTTATATTTACGCGAACACTACACATTGATTAAAACTACTTTTACGGATTTTATTGTGTTTAATTTACTTTTAATTATTTTTTTATTTTTTTATTCCCGACGTTTCGGGTGCTTTCCAGCACCCATGGTCACGGGGGACTGAGGTGACTGATGTCCCGATGTCATTGTTAAACTCGGAGTACCTTCAAATTTTTTATTTATTGTTTATGTTCCGATCTATGCAAAATGAACTATGTCTTGAGGTCTTGCAGTTAAATTAAAAAATAAAAATAATTAAAAGGAAATTAAACGCGATAAAATCCGTAAAAGTAGTTTTAATCAGTAAATAACAGTTCAAAAACTCTCCACAACAGCGCTGGAGTAGCTACTGGGATGAAACGAACTTAGCAGTCGACGGTTTGAAGTGTGCTGCTAAACTGCTCAGTAGCTCTAAAATCTAAAATAATTTTATTTAGTTATTATGTAACCTCGAAAAAGTCGTCTATCCCACTAATATTATTCGGCACGTTCTTTAAAATTTAACCTTATAGTGGCGCCACCCATATTTAACGGTTTTCTATGGACACTTTTTAATACACAGTCTGTACTCTTTACTTCTATACTCCATAGTCGAACCGAACCTACATTTAAATTATTATCAAAAATAATGAATTTTTAAACTGTCAGAAAACAAACCACTATTGCCATTAGTTAAATATTACCTCGCATTGAATTCGTTACATTTTTGTTGGACGGCTCTGCACCGTTGCCGTCCAAGTATAACGACATTTCCTCCTCGTCTGCTGACAAATGCGCGAACGTTTCCTTTTCTTGCGACGATCTGTTTGTTGCATCACTACTTGTGCTAAAATAATTAAATCATTTGTAAGAACTTCCTTAAAAGGTAGAGCCCCCCCCCCCTCATTCTACTAGAGGAATTGACAGCCTGGTAAAAAATGCAGGAAGTTGATTGATGTGGGTGGTTCAACACCGTGTTCCTTGGACGAGGCTTGTAGTTCGGCTGTAATGATAATGATGATGATGTTGTTGGTGATGATGATGTAATAAGTATACAATTAAGGAAATATCTGCGCAGCAAGAGATTAGAAAAATAGAAAATATGAGTAATCATAATCCCGTATTTCCCTGTCCTTTTCGTCCTCTAAAACTGGACGGATTACAATTTTTATTTCAAGCACAATAGAAGAAGGATTGTAACTATGGCTGCATGTCTTTCTATTATTTTTTATATCTTTACACTTGTTTGCTCGATGGACAATTATTTTAGATCGTTGCTAATGTTTGAAATATTTACTTTAAGGAAAAAATAAATCATAAGAACATGGCAGTGGCAGATATAGATTGAATCGTACAAATATTTAATCCATTATCCAGGTGGAAAAAAGTATATCGCCTTATTGTGTCATATAATAAAAAATACATTATTTATATACCCAAACACGGCAGAGATGAAACCAAGTCTTAGATGCTGGCAAAGGGGAGCAGCAATACCGAGAGTATGGGCTCTGGTAATCCTAAGCACTCTGGCCTGGCATAATCAGTATAGGCTATAGGCAAATTTTCCGAGGTAGTTTAGGCTATAGGCAAACGTTACGAATGACAATAGGGTATTTTACACCATGTCAAATAAAATCAAAAAAAATATATATTCATGGTAAATTTTGTAAAAAGTATACAAGAAATATTGATTTCTGTTTATAAAATTGCATTATAAATTTTATATTTCCATATTAAGAATATTTTTTTCGTCTGTTCCACAAATCTGCAAAATGCTGTTGGCCATATTAGACCACGTCGTGACGTCACTGATCCAGCCTAAGGATATTAGTTATGTGTCACTGATTAAGAGAACTAAACTAACGTGCTGTGTTATTACGAAATTTTTAAGTTATAATTACGATTATTGAGTTTTATTCCGAATTTTATTGAAAAGGCATCATGGAGGACGAATTCGTAAAAACAGAAAGTACTAATCTACCAAGGATAAATAAATTGATGGTGGCAAATTTTTTTGCATGCAATCCCAATTTTTGTTCTGCCGAATTGAGGAATGTTAAAACATCAATGTATATATATAATCAATACCAGGTCAGAGTGTATTTTGATAAAACATACATAGTTTAGTAGCTATCACAGTTTAGTTTATCTATAATAGCAATCATTAGTTATAATATTTAAGTTAACGTAATTTATTACAAAATTTGACTTGCAATACACTTCACCTCTTGATGTTTTGTCCTGTATTAAACGATAGTTAAATATAAATCATACTTAAATCAAAATGATCTTTACAGAAGAATATTCTGGTTTTTGTAGACAATGTATTCGGGTATCTTCTTGCCAGTTTTAACCAAGTTTTTCTCATATTTAAATCAGTTGGCACTTTAACCCATAACTTTACCGGCGTTCTTATGCTCGTATTTGCATTCAGGCACAACACAATAATGATATAGATGACAACTCATTATTAAACATTAAAAAGTATATTATTCCTTTGCAAAATCGGCAGAATCGACGACTGGGACGTCATGAGTTGAACAACATGGCGGCTAGCGTTTTCACGCGAAAATTTAAAACGATAGATTAAAAGTAATTTTTATGGCACTATTCGGTTTTAAAAAAAAATTATACAAAAGTTATAGCGGTTCATTAGCACTCTAGGATTCATTTAAAATAATTTTTGAAAATGTGTAAAATCCAAAACCCTAAAAAAACCCTATTGGCGTTTTCTTTAAAACTAGTGGTCAAAATCCGACCTTAACTCATAAAATTCTCAGGTTTTTATAATAAGTAAGCTATATTTCACTTTCAATTTTACATTCCCATGTAATAATCCGGGTCGGGGACAAAGTTTCTTCGTATTTTATATACAAATTCAAAGCTTTTTTTTTTTCAAAATTTAATTACATTTAATTATAATATATATGTGCCATTTAGAGCAATAGCTTGTTGCCATCTTGCAGGTAATGACAATCCTGTTATGTATAAATTTTGGAATTTTTGATCAAAAATATACTATGAGCATTCACCACCTCCCCCTCCCCCGTTACCGGAGGGTTGCCCTTATTTGCTTCGGGCGCGAAAAAAACAAAAATATGCGACAAGTTGTTTTGACAGTCATCTCTTGATGTTAACCTAATACTACCCAAAAATTCTGAAGAGACTGAAACAGAGACTGAAAATCTGAGGGTACAAGGTCAGGACTATATGGTGGATGCATTCATCATTACAGCCCTTCACAAGTCCACTGCTGAACATAGGCCTCCCCCAAGTAACGCCACAAAGCACGGTCCTGAGCCACCTGCATCCATCGACTTCCTGCATGTCTTACCAGGTCGTCACTCCATCTAGTGGGGGGTCGCCCTACACTACGCCTACCGGTACGAGGCTGCCACTCGAGAACCTTTCTTCCCCATCGGTTATCGGTTCTTCGAGCTATATGGCCGGCCCATTGCCACTTCAGCTTACTAATCCGTTGGGCTATGTCGGTCACTCTGGTTTTACTGCGGATATCCTCATTTCTGAGTCTATCACGCAGAGAAACTCCGAGCATAGCCCTCTCCATAGCTCGCTGAGCGACCTTGAGCGTCCTCATACGGCCAGCAGTGACGGACCACGTCTCTGATCCGTAAGTCATCACTGGCAACACGCACTGGTTGTACACTTTAGTTTTCAGAGATTGAGGTATACCTGACGAGAAGATGTGTCGTAATTTCCCGAACGCTGCCCAGCCGAGTTGAATCCGTCGATTGACCTCTCGGTCGAAGTTGGACTTACCTAGTCGGACTATTTGTCCCAGGTAAACGTACTCGTAAACAACTTCGAGCATAGTGCTCCCAACAACTACCGGCATAGGTGTGACATGGACATTGAACATGATCTTTGTTTTGCCCATGTTCATCTTAAGACCTATCCGTTGGGAGACACCATTGAGGTCATTGATCACAGTGCTAAGGTCCTCCAGCGATTCTGCCATAAGGACTATATCGTCGTCAAATCGAAGGTGAGGGATGTACTTGCCATTGATGTTAATATCGTATCATTTCCAGTCCAGTAGCTTGAAAACGTCTTCCAACGCAGCGGTGAAGAGTTTCGGGGATATAACGTCACCCTGTCTTACACCTCTCTGCAGTTGGATAGGTTTCGAACTCTGGTTCTGTACTCGGATAGCCATCGTAGCCCTACTGTATAAACACTTCAGCACTTCGATATACCGACAGTCAACTTGGCACCGCTGAAGGGACTGTAGCACCGCCCAAATTTCGACGGAATCAAAGGCTTTCTCATAGTCCACATACGCCAGGCAAAGTGGCAGATTGTACTCTTCGGTCTTCTGTACAATCTGCCGCAGGGTATGTATGTGGTCTATGGTACTGATGGATGACTCTCGAAAACAGCACGTAGACGCGGCTCAGAAGGGAAATCGGTCTGTAGTTCTTCAAGAGAGCGTTGTCGCCTTTCTTAAAGAACAAGACCACCGCGCTTCTGCTCCACGCCTCCGGAGTAGTGCCACACATGGAGGACAGAATTGAAGAGCTTCTGAAGAACTTCAAGTACCGGTGTTCCACCCGCTTTTAGAAGCTCCGCTGTAATTCCATCCTCGCCTGGGGCCCTGCCGTTTTTAAGGTGCTGGAGAGCCATTCTAATCTCATTTAGACTGACGTCCGGGATATTATCGGAATAGTGTCGGATAAGACTTGCTCTTGGATCGTTACTCACACTTGCGTGTCGCTCCAACGATGATGTGTACAGCTGCCCATAGAACCTCTCAATCTCACTCAAAATCTGAGGTGTCCCGAAACGATGCTGCCACACTCAGTCTTCAGCTTTGACAGTTGGCTCTTTCTGGCAGACAGATCTCTGACAAAGACTTTGGAGCCCTGGTTCCGCTCGATCGCTTATTTAATACGAGCAGTATTAAAGTTGCGTAAGTCTCGCCGCACGCATTTGGAGATCTGTCTGTTCAGTTGCCTGTATGCTGTCAAATCTGTTGACGATTGCAGCCTCATCTCCCGTCTAACAGCCATGAGATTAAGAGTGTGATCGGAGAGTTTTTGTGTTCTTCTGCGGCGGATGCATTAACACTTCCCAACCAAGTTCTCTCAATTTTTGCTGAGTGGTCAAAGATGTATGTGGTATGGCGTTATCGTGATGAAAGACCACTCCTTTTCTGTTGTTGTTGGCAGTAGAGATCTGAATCGATGGCTTTGCCCGGCAGTAAAAGCTCTTAATAAACGATGCCCTTCCAATCCCATCATACACCTGTGTGTATGATGGGATTTGAAGGGCATCGTTTATCGTAATATGCAATAAGGTGATGCATATTATCTAATTATATATATATCCGGGTTTCGCTACAGTCTGTGGAACTTGATTACCCTTTGACCATGATCTTTTTTGCACGTTCTTGTCCACTTGATCCACTTTTCATCACCAGTTATCAATCTTTTCAAAAATGTTTCGGTTTCATAATTGTTCACCAACTTTGTGCGAGAGCAGCATAACACTGAAATTGCATTAGGTCCATAAACATCACATTTTTTTCAGGGCTTGAGTCGCATTTTTCCCTCTTTTGTAAAAGAACAGAATTTCTTCGTTAGATTCACTCATTTTGGCGGACAGAAAAACAATAGAAAAATGGCCGGAAATTATTCTTTACTTTTTACTTTTCTTTTTCTCAATGTGTTTTTGTTAATATGTGATATTAAAACCATCCAGATACAAACAGTACAACAAAAGAGAGTTTTCTTCAATTTTATACAAACAAAATACCAAGAAACTTTTTATCCGACCTTATATCTAACATACAAAATAGAAAATAAACGCTTTTTTTAATCTTGACATACACTCCATAAGCTAATGAAAAAGGAACATTTAAAATCACACAAAATTCACAGCTTATTCAGTCAATTTGTCAGTAATTATTTGTTGGCAACAATTTAAATTACTTTGGCTACAATCACAACCCGGTACTAGTTTGACTTTGGCAGTATGAATGTCAACAATTAATGTTTTATTGAATATGATTTAATGTATTTGTAATACACATCATATATTATAAATTTTAGCAATCTTCACTCTTTTCCCATATACATTTTAACTGTGCCAAATCCCACACTCACATGCATTAAACTTGTAAAGGGGTATATTTTTCTCCATTCACATGTAAATATATGGATTACTTCTATTGGGTAAAGGAATTCGTCCTGTGGTGTCGTAAGAGGCGACCATAGGAAATACCAGAAAGATGTTAATGCTAACGATAAAGGGCCTGTATACCACTTCATTTACGCCAGACGTAAAAATAACTTTCCCTGTTACGGCAAAGTTCTATGTCCAGTAGTCTAATTTTACAAGCAAACGAAGAAGGATTAAGTAAAAGAAAATTTATGATTATACTGATAGCTATTTTAATCTACAGATAAAAACACAAGAGCTATTAAATTCATTTGTAATAAATCATACCTTTTAAATAATGTAGAAAAGGAAAATTTATTCTTCTTTGGTAGATCGCCCTGTCTTAAATACTCGGAGCTTGGATTTAGGAATGTATATAAAGCTTCACTTTGGTTTAAACGGTCATCTTCTAGCACGAACTACAAAAACAATCAAAATTGTTAATCACATAAAATATGTTATATGCACATTTTACTCCTACGGTACTTACTTCCAGGTACTTCTGAATCAGTGTTTTGGCCTTTTCCAAAGAGTTTCTATCGTTTTTCCCGAAAAGAAACTTGAATGTATTAGAAGGTAGTTCTAAATTTTTGAGCTCTGAACACATCGGTCTTAGTTTTCTATGTAAATCCTATAAATTAAGAAAAATATATCAGAATTATTTCCTTTTAGTAAGATTCAGAGTAGTCAGTAAATAGATTCAGTAAGTTAAAATCTCCATCGGCATTGTAGTCTTCTAGATATTAATGCAACCTAACACATGCTTAAATAGGTCAATAGTGAACTTAAAACCTGATTTCACTTTTAGATTTCTATACAACAAAGATATCAATGTCAAAACTATCTATAATAAAACAGATCGACAAAACGAATTTTAGATAAGGCGATGTTAAGTAATATAAATCTCGTATAAAAGCAAAAAAAAAACTTTCAATCACTCCCCCGAATAGTAAATATAAACAAGGTTAGTATTCCGCCAGCATAATTATTTAAACTAGATAAAATACAATTTAGGATATTAAAAAAAGTCTAATACACATGCAAAGTAGGGTACCTGAAACTCATTGAGAGTTCTAAGTAGCACCCAGCCTGTAGATATCTGTTCGGGCCTTTCCTCTTCGCCAGTGGGCTCCTGCTCCGCCATATGCACCACTATCACAAACTGAGGCGGCTTCGATTCATCTATTATCTGTTTAATTATATATAATAAATAACATTAGATTTTAAAAGAAAACTCTTTCATCTCAAAAACACAACTGGATTTGGTCTTTTCTATAATAATGTTGCGCGCTATAATTAGCGCCTGGTATGTGGCGGCTGATTATTAGCGCCATCTAGTATCGAATGGAAGAACTAAGCTTTCTAGAAAGCTCCACACGAAGTTTCTGCACCTGGTCGGTCGGGGGCCGGTATTTGCTGGAATGTTTTGGCTGTTTAGGTGGAATAGGCCTATATAAAGTCGTTCAAGGCCGCGACCGAGTATTTAATTGGCTATATAAGCGAAGCTTCGGAGCGAAATAAAGTGTAACTAAAGTGATCAGTGTGATTAAATATTTGTGTGTTTTAAGTTTTAATTGGTATTCGGCAATTAAAGTGTCAATTTTGGTTATTCAATCGGCAGTTTTGATTGTCACGAACCCTAAGCTCGTAACAATAAGAAGGGATCGGGCGGCTTAGTACACGAATTGGCGATTGCAGTGCCCACATACCTAGGACCATGGACGGCGCTTCTCGTCGCCGGGCTGGGTCTTTTCATTAACTAATTCATAAGAGCCTATTAAAGTCTATTACTGAATATAGGTCTCGTATATAGATTATCTTAAAAGAGGTATAATTAAGGGGGAGCCGTGGTAGCTCAGATGGTTAGTGCTCGCTGTTAAGTCACATTACGCGAGCAACCCGGGTTCGATCCCCACTGACATGAATAAAATTGTTAATTGCAATTTTAAATACTGATTTACCACGTGCTCGGCGGTGAAGAAAAACCTGCATGTTTGAGAAATAAAAAAAAATATTTCGAAGACATGTGTGGTTCCCAACACGCATTGGGGCAGCGCGTCAGACATTTCCTTGCCCTAAAACCCTCTCAAAAATGAGGGGAGGCCTGTGCCCAGCAGTGGGACGTATATAGGCCGTAACTGTAAATTAATTGCCACAGTTGCAACGCTTTGTGGCCGTAGAAGGTAAAGGGGAGATCTCCCGCCGGGCAAGGTGTTCTGCCCGGGGAGCGGCTCACACTCCGTGTGATAGTTCGGAGATGTTCTATATATGCTGTTTATGATTCGGAATGTTGATAGCGTGATTTAAGCTTTGATGTGTTTCGCCTGCGGCGCGACGACAGCGCCGCCACAGCTTGACAGGCGGATTGACAATCGCAGTTTTTGTTTCATTTCCCTCTGTCGCTTCTTACGACACCTTTGGAATAATACGGGGTAGTGGATTTTCTACGCTTTACACAGTGTAGCTGGGTATTAAATATTACTCAGTGGATTTAAACAGCAAAAAAATGAGGTGCCAGTTATAATTTTTTTACGTGGTAGAACTCCACTGCAGCTATATTATGGTTGTAGCACAAATGGGTCGGCTCTACCGGAATGAGACCACGTAAAAAATAGCAGCTTAATGCTGCTGCGTTTCGTATGGTGAGTGTAGAGAGCCGGAGACTCTTTTTACTGGACACGAGGCATTCAGTCTTAGTTCTTGAAGGTGACAGCGCATCTGCATTTTGATTCTTAATCGAGGATAAATGTGGATGTCTATGGGCCGCAGCATCGGGTGGACTGTGTGCTCGTTTGACACCATTATTCTATAAAAAAGGTATGTACCTCAGCACTGTGCACAGATGCCCGCCATCTGCCAAGGTGTTCAGCCCACGTGTCGGTCCTGGCCAGGTGAGCTTCCAGCCGCATTTGCTCCCCGGCTAATCTCTCCACTTCATTCGCTAACATCGCTAACGCCGGTGACTCTGGCTTTAAAGATGCACGCAAAGCCGCTAAAGCCTAAAAAATTAAACCTATAATTTAGCTATGGAGAGTACTAACGTGTAAAAAGTACCGTAACGTGTAAGTAAAACTATGTATATATTATTAAAGACATTTGTTTGACACATTTTGTAGCCTCATAAAATTGATAGATTTTTAACATATGGTGTGTCATTCGTCAAGTTGTAAAAGTGACAGGGCGTAATATTCAAATTATTATCTTTTTCGAAGACAATTTTACGAAGTCGCGTTTTAACAAAAATGGTAGCATTTAGTCAATGCCGGTTTGGGGTTTATATTTTTCCTTCAATAATTTGTTATAAGCTGATAGTTTAACATTTTTATTTTTATGCTATATTGTAGTTGTTCTCTACAGACATGGGTTTTGTCTAAAAATATCATAAATTCGGTTATGAATTTATGACTTTGAATAGGTAATGAAAAAATTCAGGATTTGAGCACGGATTACGAATACTGGCGGCTGGGCTCGCCTTCGGTTATCGACGCGGGGTTTGGTGTGGTGGTAAATTTCAAAAAACGGTGACGAGTCGTGATCCTGGTTCATCGATTCACAAAACTATGGCCTACCTACCTGCGAGCCACTAATACCGCATAAAGGTCCGCCCGTCAGAGCCTTAAATAATAATTGTTTAGCTTGCCAGTGTATCAGGAACGAACTCGGAATCGACGAGCTACTAGGAGTAAAATCGCAGTAAATCGCAGTCATCTTTACCGAAAGCTTATTGTTCGCCCGCCGATCAGGCCCTTAGTACACTGCTCTTAAGAGGGTAGACGGTCTGCGCGGGAATTGAGAAATAGGTATTTGAAGAAACTATAGCCGTCCCTCACCTGTGGGCTCCACCCGAAAAGTGCGATAGTTACAACTGCAGCTCAAAACGATTTTAGCTACAAAAACCATGACCGATCGTCGTTTCGTATTCCCCTGTTTTCTCCTCGTAAACTAAGCCAATTAAATTATTTTTGGTATCAAAATTTAAAGGAAGAATAGATCTATGCTTCTATCATTTCCTTTTATCTTAAAAACTTTTCAAATTTCTTTTGTAGTCGTCTGATAACGGAGGTAAAAACGGGGCATATTTTTAGATTTTTGGAAAGTTATATTTATTTTATTAATAATTTTTTGAAAAAAAAAATTCAATGACAGGGCATGCCTGCAATAAATCTAAATTTTATAAACAAAAACGATTACTCTAGAGGCATTGTCCAGGAAGAAAATAGGGGAATACATTTGTATGGAAAAAATGCAGCCCGTCTACCATTTTCCGCTCCGTCCCCCTCGTGCTCTAATCCAGAATCCCGAAACCTTTCAGCTCGAGTTACGTAACCGCTTTCAGTGCCTAGAAGATTGCAATGCAGTGGACGATATGAATGACAAGCTCGTGGAAACTGTCCATGCGGTCGGAGCTAAGTTCTGCAAGACCCGACGCAGAAGAACACAAAAACTTTCCGATCACACTCTTAATCTCATGGCTGTTAGACGGGAGATGAGGCTGCAATCGTCAACAGATTTGACAGCATACAGGCAACTGAACAGACAGATCTCCAAATGCATGCGGCGAGACTTACGCAACTTTAATACTGCTCGTATTAAAGAAGCGATCGAGCGGAACCAGGGCTCCAAAGTCTTTTCCAGAGATCTGTCTGCTAGAAATAGCCAACTGTCAAAGCTAAAGACTGAGTGTGGCAACATCGTTTCCGGGACACCTGAGATTCTGAGTGAGATTGAGAGGTTCTATGGGCAGCTGTACACATCATCGTTGGAGCCACACGCAAGTGTGAGTAACGATCCAAGAGCAAGTCTTATCCGACACTATTCCGATGATATCCCGGACGTCAGTCTGAGCGAGATTAGAATGGCTCTCCACCACCTTAAAAACGGCAAGGCCCCGGGCGAGGATGGAGCTTCTGAAAGCGGGTGGAACACCGGTACTTGAAGTCCTTCAGAAGCTCTTCAATTCCGTCCTCCATGGTGGCACTTCTCCGGAAGCGTGGAGCAGAAGCGCGGTGGTCTTGTTCTTTAAGAAAGGCGACAACGCTCTCTTGAAGAACTACAGACCGATTTCCCTTCTGAGCCGCGTCTACGTGCTGTTTTCGAGTCATTACGAATCGTCTCGCACGCAGACTCGACGACTTCCAGCCTCCCGAACAAGCCGGTTTCCGAAAAGGCTTCAGTACCATAGACCACATACATACCCTGCGGCAGATTGTACAGAAGACCAAAGAGTACAATCTGCCACTTTGCTTGGCATATGTGGACTATGAGAAAGCCTTTGATTCCGTCGTTTGGGCGGTGCTACAGTCCCTTCAGCGGTGCCAAGTTGACTGTCGGTATATCGAAGTGCTCAAGTGTTTGTACAGTAGGGCTACGATGGCTATCCGAGTACAGAACCAGAGTTCGAAACCTATCCAACTGCAGAGAGGTGTAAGACAGGGTGATGTTATATCCCGGAAACTCTTCACCGCTGCGTTAGAAACCGTTTTCAAGCTACTGGACTGGAAAGGATACAGTATTAACATCAATGGCGAGTACATCACTCACCTTCGATTTGCCGACGATATAGTCCTTATGGCAGAATCGCTGGAGGACCTTAGCACTATGCTCAATGACCTCAATGGTGTCTCCCAACGGATAGGTCTTAAGATGAACATGGAAAAAAACAAAGATCATGTTTAATGTCCATGTCACACCTATGCCGGTAGTTATTGGGAGCACTATGCTCGAAGTTGTTGACGAGTACGTTTACCTGGGACAAATAGTCCGACTAGGTAAGTCCAACTTCGACCGAGAGGTCAATCGACGGATTCAACTCGGCTGGGCAGCGTGCGAGAAATTACGACACATCTTCTCGTCAGGTATACCTCAATCTCTAAAAACTAAAGTGTATAACCAGTGCGTGTTGCCAGTTATGACTTACGGATCTGAAACGTGGTCCTTCACTGCTGGCCGTATGAGGACGCTCAAGGTCGCTCAGCGAGCTATGGAGAGGGCTATGCTCGGAATTTCTCTGCGTGATAGACTCAGAAATGAGGATATTCGCAGTAAAACCAGAGTGACCGACATAGCCCAACGGATTAGTAAGCTGAAGTGGCAATGGGCCGGCCATATAGCTCGAAGAACCGATAACCGATGGGGAAGAAAGGTTCTCGAGTGGCAGCCTCGTACCGGTAGGCGTAGTGTAGGGCGACCCCCTACTAGATGGAGTGACGACCTGCTAAGACATGCAGGAAGTCGATGGATGCAGGTGGCTCAGGACCGTGCTTTGTGGCATTACTTGGGGGAGGCCTATGTTCAGCAATGGACTTGTGAAGGGCTGTAATGATGATGATGATGATGATGATGATGATGATACCTATGTTAGTCTCTAACCTCTAATAGTTTATTCTCCATCTACAAGAGATCATAAAATTCTCTAACAAACATAAATTTTGACATTCTGCGAATGCTCTAGTAAATATTTATTTATTTATTTAATATTCTTTATTGCACACCATACAAAAATTACAGAAATTATATATTATACAAAAGAAGTATGCAATGGGCGGTCTTATTGCTGACAGCAACATTGTTTTGTGTAAATTAATATATTACAACAATTTGTTCAGAAATGCAACGTGTTTGAAAATTAGTGATGGAATAGAAGGTAATGATAATAATGATGAGCACTTATTCCTGGTTGAAAATAGTTAAATTGGAGATCATAGGCGACACCTAAAATTCATTTTAAAGCATTTATGTTGCATAAACATAGAATCAATTTACCTGTGTTTTATTATTATGCCTCTCCTGTAATTGATCAAGTTTTCTTCTCGCGTACGTGGAATGTTCATTGAGGTGTATAGTACCTCCGGCGTTTTCTGCTGATGACGCCGATTCGTTGGGTAACTGGCGGTCTTCCACCGGCGATCTCTCTGCGCTGAATTCTGTAAGTTTAAAAGAATCGTTGAAAAAAATTATAATCTGTTTTATTAAAAGTGAAAGTTTTACAGGGTGCGGCTTGTACAAAGTATATATATATATATATATATATATATATATATATATATATATATATATATATATATATATAAAAAAAAAAAAAAATATATATATATATATATATATATATATATATAGTCAGCCGTAGCATTTGTTACATTTAATAAACTGGCTAGCTAATGCATAGACCATTCGTACGATAGGGTGAAGAAACAGCGCCGTTCCACTAGCGCTGTCAATGATATTCAGCCCATGCGTTTCAGCCGAGGCGTCTAATACAACATTTCATACCTAATTATGCACTATGCGCTATATAACATAAATATCTACGGCTTTGGCTACCCCAGCCGCACCCTGACCTGCTGTCACTGATATAACAAGATAGTTGCAACGTTGTATTAGACGCAGCTGCCGAATATCATTCAGGCCCATAGTTAAACATAAAAAGGCTAAGCTGTTACTTGAACTGTTAATTAAGCAAGTTGACTGCGACAAATTGTACTATTTTTCATTATATAAACTTTGGAAAACACCATCAAATTTGTTGTTTGCCAACGCCATATTGACAGTTTGGAGAGTTTCAGTGCTAGGTAACAGAAAGTTAAACTAAATTGAAATGAACAGGCCAGGCAAGTAATGAAACGTCATCGATCCAAGTCATTTGCCTAAAATAGCTATTTGATCAAATGGCTGAATATCATTCAGGCCACTATTTGAACGGCGTTGTTTAGTAAAGAGGCTAGGCTGTTGATTGAACGGCTAATTAAGCTAGTTGGCTGCGACAAATATATAATATACATAGGTACATCAAATAACAGTACCAGATCTATGAAAATGTATATATATATATATATATATATATATACATATATATATATATATATATATATATATATATATATATATATATATGTATACAACATGTAACATAATTAACGCACTTTGAGAAAGTAGTTTGTTCAGAATCGTTTACTGAATCTATTCCTATCATTTTTAATATAGGTAATTTTTATCCCAAAATAATTAAAACTACGTAAATTACAGTCACACTAAATCTGTACAGTCAAAACAAACTGAAATGGACCTTAACTTAAGGCAATAAGACTTTTAAGAGTGCAGTTTTATTTGTATTATTCTGCAATTCAATAAAAATAAAGAAAAATGAACTTTATTTCAAGCACGTTAAAGTCTTTGCGTTCGTGGATTTGTACTGTGACCACAACGTTCTTCCAGTATTAGTAAATAGTATAATTTAATAAATAATCAGTGCATAAAAATGTTTTAACTAAAAATTCAGTGCGTGTATTATGATTATAACATAATATACTAATTGGGGTGTCTGAGGGTGTGCGTTAATTACGTTACATATTGTATATTCCTCCATATCAAGATTCATATCGGTTTTTTTTTTCAAATATAATTGGTTTGTGATTGTAGCTAAGTCTTTAGCACTGGTAAGATGGCACTCAGAAGCTAAGCGCGGATCCAATCCCCGCTGATGATCCAATAAAAAAACTTTAACAACATATGTACTAAAAAGACAACAGACTTTTAGCGATACATTTAAAGGAAGTAAAGCAAAAAAATTATGTTGATTGTTTCTACGTTTTAAATTTAAAAAAAAAACTAGTTAAATGAATAGTTACACCAAAAATCAGTTTTTAATTCCTTTTCTATAGATCGTAAAAATGTTTTTTTTTTTTTTAATTTATTTTATGTACACACATTAAGGTACAGAAGCAGTCTTATAGTAATTACGTACAAAGGTTCTACTTGTTCCAAATTCGCTGAAATATCTTCCAGTAGACGTAGTGTTTTATTATTTGTGTTAATAAATTTTTATTTGAACGAAAAAAAAAAATATTGTCGATTGTATGATATTACATTGTACATTAAGTGTGATATTTTTACAACCATCAGAAATATGCACTGCAATACGGCCCGTGTTCACTTGTTCCCTTCAGGCTCTATTCGGATGACGTCATAGGTCCATGGTTTTTCCGAAAGTTTTTTACTACGAGCTACAACACAAACACCCGTCGAAAGTAGATTAAATAAAGTGAACGCACAATTTCAAAATGTGCACTTTTTGCAGGCTTTTTGGAGCATCTTTAATTTCAATGGCTAAATGTTAAAACAACATCTACTATATGCCACATACCTTTATTAGCTTCTTCTTTAGCTAGTTCTACAATTAAAGCTTTATACTGGTCGCTTAACAAAAATGATGAATAATACTTTTCTTGGATTGTATCCACTACCGTACTTTGAACCTCATAAAATACTTCTGGACCCTTATCGCCTAACAGGAAAGCCTCCATTCTTTTTCTAGTTTCCTACAAAGAAAGAGAAGTGTTTGGTAGCAAGTGTTCAGTAATAAATATATTAGCAGACAAATGCCAACAAAGCTTTACGAAATAACCTGAGAACAGAGTCACCAATATTTTTAATTATACGACAATTTTATATATTTCCTTTGGTATACAATTGAAGTTGAACAGAAGTGTGTGTTTGTTTTTATGGTAGTAACTTACCATAGCCTAAACATGTTTATAAATTTAAGATTTATTTTTATAGAATAAGGGTAACAAACGAGCACGCAGTGCACCTGATGGTGAGTAGATGCATGAGGCATGTAGCACATTCAACCTCGATTAAGTATCAAAATGCAGATGCATCGTCACCCATGAGGACTATGATGGAATGCCTCGATTCTAGTAAAACGGGTCTCCGCTTCTTTGCACTCACCATACGAAACATAGCAGCACTAAACTGCTATTATACGCTGGTATTCTGTGAGAGCGTGATCCTTCCCCGGTCGAGCCAACCCGTTCTTGCTAATACCATAACATATAACATACACACACATGTAGCGTGACTCTACCACGTTCAAGGAATAGTTAAATTCGTCCAAATCTCCGAGAGCGAGAGTTGAATCCACGATTCCGCAGAGACACAAGTTCTTTCTCTCTACTCTGCGCTAGCGAGCCGTTAATTTACCTGTTTGCTTTTAAAATGGTATATTTACAAGTATAAGCAGTGAGGTTGTGTAACTCTGGTGAGAATCGTGGTTGTCTTTGTTTCGCCATTTGATGTATGGTATTGTACTACGTATTATAAAATATTATCATAATGAAAAAATTACGGACTTTCAAAAAGATTCCCACCGACAACTGTAGCCCAGAGTTACACAATCGCACTGCGGTATACTATCAAATTATAATGTAGGTGGCTCCAACATACACATAAACACTAACGCCTGTCATGCCGAGGGGTAGGCAGAGACTACAGACTTCCATTTAGCACGATCCTGACATACCTCTCTCGTCTCCTTCACATCCATATACCTACGCATACACGCTCGTCGGTTAAGGGTACTCCTAATTTGGCCCGTTTTCAATAAATCGCTAATTTAGCCGATACATTTTCGCCTAGGAGGTCCCTTTCCGACTCTGCCATTCACTTCTGCATCATAAATTTTCTTTGTCACTCTTTACTCATTCATTCTTTCCACATGACCAAACCACCAAAGCATTCCTTTCTTAAACCTGGTCACAACATTATCTTGCAAACCACACTCTTCTCTTATCACACAATTTCTCACCATGTCATTCAGATTCAGCCTAGCATACTCCTTAATGACCGCATTTCTACCGCGTTAACTTTCACTACCATACGTTAAAGTAGGGACCAATACAGCATTGTAAATTACCATACGTGCCTTTTTTGACACGTTTTGATTCTTTACAATTCGTGGCTCCAAAACAAGAGTAATTTCTAAGAAGACGCTTTTTAAAACCCTAGTGCGATTTTCTATCCAGGAATGGATCACCAGTTACCAAAGCAAAGCTACAATTTCACCTGACAATACGATAACACTAGCGTATAATTATTAAAAACAAACTTAAATATCTCACCTTATCTACTTTAATTTCTGCACTAGGTGACCTTATGTAAGTGTAAAATATCTCAGCCCCCAACTGATGCCAACTGCTTCTTGGACTGTGCCGCAACTCCTCTACTGCCATCCAAAATCCAACGAGCCCTTGTGAACACATGGTTTCCAAAAACATTGAGAGATACCTCCGTCCTGTCACACTTTCCATAATCTTGTATAATGGTAATGTCTGTGTAGGAATAACAATTACTTGCAGAATTTATCGTATAGACATTTCAGGTTTTAGATTCGAAAAATTAAGCCATTAGAAATAATGATTCAAATTATTAGTCACTTCCAAGTTCAAGGTAGAAAATGAAAAAACTATGAAACATACATTATTTCGGGTGTGTCACCTACAATGAAAAATTATGACATTAATTAACTTTGCAATATTAACCCCTCAGTTTCCTAGCGGTCGGATCCGACCGCGGCGCTATTCCGTCAAAATCAAAGCGGTCGGATTCGACCGCGCACACCCACAGCACTTTAAACCATTAATACTTATATTTAGAGACTACTTTTCCATGAAAATGTTTGGCATTATAGAATCAATATGAAATTTTCTATCTTCTAGTGCAATAAAAAGTCAAGTTATCCTATGGATATTTATTTATAATCTACGTTAATTTCGTATGCCATTTTCGCGTGAAAGTTATTGTGTTGATTTTTGGATTTTTCTAGTGTTTTATTAGTGTTTAGTATAGTGTTTTATTATAAAATTACTTTTTACGTAAATAATTTCGAGTAATATAATATATTGAAATGATCGTGATTTTCACGCTGCCGACATTCGCTTGGTATGTTTGTTTTTGTTATCAAAATACAATAATCTTTTTGTAAAGAAGTAAAACCTGACTTTTATATAGAGAATTTTGTATAGATTTTATAATTACAAACTTCTTCATAGAAAAGTAGTCTATAAACATAAGTTTTTAAGTGATGCGGGTGGGTGCGGTCGCATGCGACCGCTCGGGATTTGCCGGGCGCAAGCGACTGCATGGGATTTTTATTGGGATTGAGGGGTTAAGTAGTGTCTTAATACTTGGTTTGTTTTGAAAATAATTTTGATTAATACTATCTATACAATTAAATAAAATTGAAGTGTCTGTTTGTAATGTCAAAATAACATCCACTTATATTCAATTTAATAAATCAAAACACACAAAATACTATTTTAATCTTAATATCGACAAATTAAACGAAGTAACACAAACTAAATTCCTAGGAGTAATAATCGATCAAGATATAAGCTGAAGAGGTCACATACTTCACCTATGCAGTAGAATTAACCAATTTGTTTATGCACTTAATAAAGTAAAAAATATTACAGACAAAAAATTGCTGTTCTAACGTATCACGCTTACATAGAATCTTTACTATGTTATGGTGTTGTAATATGGGGCAATGGTACAGATAAACAGAGATTATTTCCTGCACAAAAGAAATGCATTAGAGCTATTGCTGGAATCGCACCGGATAAATCCTGCAAACCAATATTTAGGAGCCTAGGTTTGTTGCCACTACCATCTCTGTATATCTACGAAGTAGAACATAATATACTGTTTACAAAGGCATATGATATGAATATAAGACTAAAAAGAAATGCAAATAAACTTGTATTAGATGATGTACCGCGATCAAACATAGTAATAGCTATTTAACCATGTGTATTCGAATCTATAATAAAATACCAAATGAAATCAAATCGAATAATAATTGTTTATTTAAAAAAAAATTATTGACTTATCTCAATGAAAATCAATTTTATGACAGCAGAGACCTATTTGTTAAATGTAAATGTATATATATATATAAATATACATATATATATATATATATATATATATATATATATATATTATTGTTACGAGCTTGAGGGTTCGTGACAATAAAAGTTGCCGATAGAATTACCTAAATTAACACTTTAATTTAGTTTACACAAATTAAAACTTAAAACACTAATAATTAAACACACTAATTCACTTAATTCCGCTCCGAAGCTTCGCTTGTGTCGCCGAGTTCAACTCTGCCCCGATCGCATCTTGCAGCGCCTATTTATATAATTAGTAAAGAAGCGTCCCGAACATTCAAGTAAATGCGCGCCAGGCAACGAGTATTCGAGTGTAGATTTTCCAGAAACTTAGTTCTTCGGGTGGCGCTGTCGGTCGAAAGATTTGTGATGTCATTTTCTGCAACGCTCCCCTCGCTCTCGTTCCTGACACTAGATGGCGCTAGTGTGCCGATTTTAGCGCGTAACACTGCCCCCTTCCTAAGACATGCTCGTCCCGAGCATTATTGGTCCCATAATAACGCGCTAGGCGATCCACATGGACGATCTTAGGAGTCCCTCTTGCGCCTTTCTGTATCCGGTAGGTTACATCGTTGATCCTGGTCACAATCCGGTACGGACCGTCCCATTTAGCTTGAAGCTTAGGAGATTTCCCTTTGCTGCGGACTGGATTGTGCAACCACACAAGTGAACCTTCGTCGAACCCTTTGTTGTTCATTTTGCGGTCATACCGGGTTTTCATCTTTTCAGACATTTGCTGGCCCGATTGTCTGACGTGCTCATAAACGTCACTTTACAAAAAAAGTTGTATGTGCTTGTCCCAATCTCGTTGCCGATTGTCTACAACTTTTGCTAGGTACCTCTCCAATGTCTGATTAAATCGTTCTACCATTCCATCAGATTGCGGGTGATAAGAAGTCGTTCTTGTTTTATGAGCACCCATAACTCGGCAAGTTTCCTGGAATATTTGAGACTCAAAATTCCTTCCTTGATCGCTGTGAATCTCTAAAGGTACACCAAAACGAGAGAAGACTTCATGAACTAGCTTATCAGCAACTGTTGAAGCTTCTTGATTTGGAAAGGCGAAGACTTCTGGCCACTTAGTGAAGTTATCCATCACAACCATGAAATACCTGTTACCGCTTTCACTCTCCGGAAACGGCCCCGCCACGTCAATGGCTATTCTCTCCCATGGTGCACCAACATTGTACAGCTTCAATGCACCTCTACTACGAGTCTGAGGTCCCTTTACAGCCGCACAACTTGTACATTTGCGACACCAGTCCTCGACATCGTTTCGACAGTGGACCCAGTAAAACCGTTCTCGGATCTTCAGTAGAGTTCGTTTAACTCCCAGATGGCCTCCTGAATAATCATTATGGTACAGCTGTAGAACATCCGGTACTTTAGCTTTAGGGACAACCATTTGTAAATGACAGCTGTCTCCCCGAACATTTTCCCATTTTCGGCACAGAACTCCATCCTGAAGCAGCAAGCTGTCCCACTGGGCCCAGTCGCTTTTAGTGGTCGAACTCATCGCTGAGACGTCGCTCCACTTGGGCTTGGGAGCACTGGCCTTCATCCATTCCAGGATCGGCTTGATGTCCGGATCTTCCTGCTGTGCACGTTGTAAGCTGTCCTTCCACTCGTTGCTGAGGTGGTCTGCCCTGAGCATCCTCACGGATACCACTTCCTTACTCTCTTGCCTAGTACAATGTTTGCAATCTTCAGGACAAGATCTTCTTGACAATGCATCTGCGTTGCCATGAGATTTTCCGTTACAATGTTCGATCTCAAAGTCGTATTCCTGCAGTAGTTCAATCCACCTCGCAACTTGTCCTTCTGGATTTTTAAACTGCAATAGCCATTTTAGTGCAGCATGGTCAGTTCGTAAGTGAAATTTTCGCCCCAGAAGATATTTGCTAAAATGCTGCAACGACTTTACCACAGCTAGCAATTCGCGTCTTGTGACACAGTAGTTCCTTTCCGGTTTTGACAACGACTTGCTGAAGTACGCTATCACGACCTCTTGGTCACCATTCCGTTGAGACAACACACCGCCAAGTCCTATATCACTTGCGTCTGTGTCAACTATGTATTCTTTGCTTGCATCAGGGTATCCCAAAATAGGTGTTTTGCACAGACGGTCCTTGAGCTCCTGGAATGCTATATTGCAACTTTCATCCCAGCAGAAATGTCGCTTCTCCTCGGTTAGCTTGTGCAGAGGTTTGGCTATATCTGCGAAGTTCTTCACGAATCGCCGGTAATAGGAGCACAAACCCAAAAATGCTCTAACCTGCGTCTTGTCTTTTGGAACCGGCCAATCCTTTACAGCTGCAATTTTCTCTCGATCCGTGCGGATACCTTCTTCCGACACTACATACCCCAAAAAGTTGACTTGCCATTTGAATAGTGAACATTTCTTCGGACTCAGCTTGAGATTGGCACTCTGAATCTTCATGAGCACGCGTCCCAGGTTTTCAAGGTGTTCCTCAAACGTACGGCCCACGGTGATGATGTCGTCCAAGTAGACCAGACAGGCATCGCCAATTAGCCCGGTAAGTACAAGTTCCATCAGCCTTTCAAACGTTGCTGGAGCATTGCACAACCCAAACGGCATTACTTTGATTTGCCACAGACCCTTTCCCGTCGAGAACGCAGTTTTCTCCTTGTCCTTAGGGTCAATTTCAACTTGCCAGTAGCCACTTTTTAGATCCAGCGTGCTAAACCATTTTACTCCTGTAAGCATGTCCAGCGTGTCATCAATTCTTGGCAAGGGATAGCTGTCCTTCTTTGTAACGTCGTTCAGACGGCGGTAATCAACACAGAACCGCATGCTGCCATCCTTCTTCTTTACCAGCACCACGGGTGAACACCATGGACTAGATGAAGGTTCAATAACACCATCCTTCACCATTCCCTCAATCATGGTTTCCACTTCCTTTTCACGTGCTACGGCAATCTTCTTGGCCGCTGACGGATAGGCAATTCCTCTCCTGTGTTTATTTTGTGTTGAACTAAGCCAGTCTTTCCTATGTCAGCATCGTTTGACGAGAATACATCGCCGTACTTGAGTAACAACTTCTTCGCCTTGACCAATTCGTTCGGGGAGAGAACACTGCGACAGTCTTCCAAAAGTGTGGTCACTCTCGTTTCTGAATCCTTGCTGGGGGTCCCACTCGATATATATTGGCACCGACGTAACCAATCCACTTCCTCACAAGTGCCAACCAGTGTGCCTTTTTCTATAATCTGTTCCCGGTCGCAAAGGTTCAGCACACGTATTCTTGAGATGTCAGTGGTTCTGACCAAGGTTCGAGCTACTTTCCATGGAAGGTCATTGTTTACCCTTTCCACAAGTACACAACGGTGAGCTTGCCCAGCGTTTCGGGGAAGACTAACCGGAACAATCGTTTCCGATCTCGGCGGAAGAACAATCTTCTTAATGCTGTACACGTTCCCTGGTAACGCACCTTCCATAAAAAGTTCCTCCTGTCCACATTTCAAAACACCTTGCTTAACGTCGATCTCACAACAATTATTCCTCATAAAGTCTAGGCCTAGGATGCAGTCGTCCATTATATCAGCCACGATGACATCATGCAGGTAGATCACGTTGCCAAGCTTCAACTCCATCTCCTTCTCTCCACGGACGGATATACGCTGACCGGTGGCTGTTACCAAATTAATGCGTTCTCGGTTGTATGCGGAGTCCCCAAGGAACTGACTTATAAGTTGGGAACTAACAACCGTACGAGAGGCTCCAGTGTCTATGGTCAGTTTACACGGCATTCCGTTGACGCCCTTGATGATTAGACTGTTCCCATCATGGGTTTGTGAGATCGAGATCCTTGGGGCTCTTTTAACATCAGCCAGCACCCGCCCCGCAGTTCTGGCTTTTACTCGTTTCCCTGCTGCTGCTGGGCGGTGCTGTTGGCCGCACTACCCTCCTGGGATCGTTCACCTTCCCTTTCTAGGGTTCGCTTAGGGCAGCTGGATCGAAGATAGCCCTTTTCCCCACAGCCATAGCACCTAGGGCTGTATCCTTTGTTGCGGTCGCGAACTGTAGCTGCTGCAACCTCCCTGACGCGATGGGAACGATGATCCTGCCGCACGGCTTCTACCTCCAGTGCATGGGCCAAGGCATCCTTAAGCGTCTCGTGGTGCCCGAGCCTCACAGCAGCGCTGACTTCAAGGTCGCGGATGCCGTCTTGAATGTCTGCACCAGGTTCCCTTCAATGAGCGCAGGTACAGACTGGTATGCTTTTCGAACCATCTTCTCCACCTCAGGGGCCCACTGCTGCAGGTTTTCGTTGCTGCGGTTGCACGCGATCTTTAAGCTGCGCGCGAAAGACGTGTTCCAGGTGAGCGTCACCATATCTCGCCTCCAATGCCTCAAGGAGCTGCTCGTAGGTCACTTTCTTACCGAGAGCTTCCAACACGGTTAAGGCTTGGTCGCGCAGGCCTAAGGTGAGTGCAGTCATGGCCTGGCTTTTATTCCAGCCGTTTGCCTCCATGACGGCCTCGAACTGGATTTTGTAGGCCGACCAGGAAGAAGTCCCGTCGAACGGTGGTACCTTGAACCCACGTAGCGAAGGTGTAGTAGCTACTGCGGGGGCTGCAATTCCATCTCCAAGTTTGAGTTCATCCAGCGTTTTCTTAACTTGGTTGATTTGGGTCTCAGCTTCCGACAGGCGGTTATCATGTTGAGCAACCTTATCCTTCACCTCCCTTATCTCTTTCCCGAAGGTAGCGTGAAGGTCCTTCATGAGAAGCATCTGCTCTTCCCTATCGCGTTTGAGCTGCTCTTCTAAGCGACGGGCCTGTTCCTCCTGTCCGCTCTGCAGCTGCTCTTTCAACAGACGGGCCTGTTCCTCTCGTTCGCGCTGCAGCTGCTCCTGTAGCATCGCCATCAGAGCACCTAAGTCAGGTGCTGCAGATGTAGGAGCTACTGACGGGCCCGCAGTCTCCGTGGCTGGCAGTTGGCCCTCCGACGTCTGCGGCGTTGCACCACCAAATCTCCTCTGGTCCGTCTCATGCTGGCGTTGACTGCGGGTACGAACACCCTCCGTTTCCTCCTTAGGTAAAATCGGCATGATTTAATCCCACTTCTGACACCAATTGTTACGAGCTTGAGGGTTCGTGACAATAAAAGTTGCCGATAGAATTACCTAAATTACAACATTAATTTAGTTTACACAAATTAAAACTTAAAACACTAATAATTAAACACACTAATTCACTTAATTCCGCTCCGAAGCTTCGCTTGTGTCGCCGAGTTCAACTCTGCCCCGATCGCATCTTGCAGCGCCTATTTATATAATTAGCAAAGAAGCGTCCCGAACATTCAAGTAAATGCGCGCCAGGCAACGAGTATTCGAGTGTAGATTTTCCAGAAACTTAGTTCTTCGGGTGGCGCTGTCGGTCGAAAGATTTGTGATGTCATTTTCTGCAACGCTCCCCTCGCTCTCGTTCCTGTCACTAGATGGCGCTAGTGTGCCGATTTTAGCGCGTAACATTATATTTTAATGAACTAATAATCTTTGTTTATTTATGATTTTATATGTTTTAGTTTAATTGTTTTGTATTATGATTAGAAAATTTCATTTGCATATGTGCTATGCAAATGAAATTTTCTAAAATTTATGTAAATTTGCATGCCATCACAATCACATAGCAAACATGTTATGCTTTAAGAATTGCATCATCCTATCTGTCCATGTTTTATGCAAATATATGAAATAAATTAATAAAAAAACAGCTTTTTACTAAATGCATATAAAATATATATGGTATTTATAACAAAAAACATTTTTTAAAATTTTTGTCTGTCTGTCTGTTTGTTCCTGCTAATCTCCGAAACGGCTGGACTGATTTTGATGGGACTTTCACTGGCAGACAGCTAATGTTATAAGGAGTAACTTAGGCTACTTTTATTTTAGAAAAAGAATTAGGGTTTCGCACAAAAAAATTAAAACCCATAAAATCCAATCTAGTTACTTCAAAAATATACAAAAAATTACTTTACTACCACACAATTGCCCACAAAATTTCTGCAGAAAGTATTACCTATAATGGAAATGATTGTCAACTACCCAATTAAAACGTCATCAGGTCATACTTTACTATCCGATTCCACCGCAGGAAAGGCACCATCCCAGCCAAGCTTTTTCAATGCATTTTCACATTCAGCTTTAGCAATCGTCAATTGACCAATGTATCTCTTGAGTTTTTTAGCATCCGCCAACTGCTGTCGACTGATATTATGCTGGGTTCCACTTTTTTCAAGCATATCGACATCAATGCCCTTTGCTCTTTTCATATTTTGTAGAGTTGTTGCTTGCATTATTTGGGTGACAATATCATATCTAAAAGTTAAACAAAAAGTTGTTAACATATTGCTATTTCTTTTAATTCATCTTTGTCAAAACATATCTGAGGGTCATTGTTGAGTAGTTGTTGAATTATATCTCACCAACAGAACGGTTAGCCGTGGTAGCTCAGATGGTTAGCGCCCGCTGTAAATTTCACAGTAAGTGAGCAAGCCGGCAACAATGAAATTGTTAATTGCAATTTTAAGTGCTGATTTACCACGTGATCGACGTTGAAGGAAAACATGTTGAGGAAACCTGCATGTCTGAGAAATAAGAAAAGACAATATTTCAAAGGCATGTGAAGTTCGCCAACACGCGGCGAACATCTCCTTGCCCTAAAACCCTCTCAGAAATGAGAGGAGGTCTATGTCCAGCGGTGGGACGTATATAGGTTGTAAAAGTTAAGTTACAGCCAATATATGTCCCACTCCTCATTTTAGAGAGGGTTTTTAAGGCAAGGAATTGTCCGCCGCGCTGCCACAATGCTATAACTTTAACTTTAGTAGAATGGTTGAAAACCACAAGTCAAAGATATAACTTTACAATATACAATTTACTTAATTCATTCAACTAAACAACAGTTAACTAGCATAACGCGAGCAAAAAGTGAAAGTACTACATAAGTAATCACTTACCGTAAACGTTTAAGTGTGTCAATATTATTACAGCTGTTGATGAGTCTTATATAATCTTCAAATGTTTTGGCATACTCATGTGTTCGCACATGCATTGCATCTACTTCTTTCTGGGCTTCCAAATACTGAATGATCTTTTGATTTATGTAATCCGGCTCTGTGACTAAATCAATTGCAGGCTGCAAAACTAAAATCAAATGGAATACATTCAGGAATCGTTTATTTTTTATTTATTTCTATCAAGATGCAGCCGCGCCACGTGTGGGCGCAGTATTCGAGTTTGAAGAGTAAAGAGGCAGTGCAGTTACAAGCTGTTAGATATTCAATGTCAATCCAGAGGGATGTCAAAAAGTTTGTGTATGGTAAATCCTCACAGAATACCGTAGTATTATGCCTCCTCTACACGTAGACAGATGCGTCAGAGGATCTGACAGATGCATCAGCATATGAATGAGCACGAACCATCCACACATCTGTAGGTTGTTCAGTTTAAGTTAAATCTCGACAGAGGCAACTCGCATGCACGCAGCATTTTATAAATTAATGTTGAGACCGTAGCTGCCGCAGCTATTTATTTATTTAGTACTTTTAACTACTACTTGAGTGTCAATCGAAGTATAGTTATCAAAAATAAATGATAGCACTGATGCGTCGCCATACATGTGGCCAGACGCCGTGCGCTCGCGCTGAAACCCTTTGTTTGTGTGCCACAAAAACCGACAACAAACGGACTGGTAGCAGACGCATCTGCCAACGTTTATACCTACCACATAGGAGCAAATACCCCCGTCTACACGTCGTCTGACGCATCCGCAGGTGATGTTTGCTAACGCATCTGTCGACGTGTAGAGGTGGCTTAATAAATATACATATAGCCGGTTCATATAAAGAATGGGATTAGAAATGACTGTATTTTTATTTGTAGTTTATGACAATTTGTTATGATTGATTCCACAGACAAGTCGGACTGAACAGAACAAAGAAGAAGAAGAACAAACAGTAAGATAATTAGTCAATTAGGTGCAGTAAGATATTACAAAAGTAATTTTAATAAACATTTGATTACACCACAAAAAATAATAAGAAAGAACATTAATTTAAATTGAAAAAAAAAACTATAACATTTGCAGGATCCCACTGGATTAATGTCAATCCAAAACTTCCCCCTGGATTGAAAACAGTGCTGGGTTGCAAACCCTACTTACGATTTACGACCACAAAATTAACGAGGCAATTAACACCCCGCTCCTAGTAAGGTTTTTTTATAGGATTAGGATAACAAATGAGTACACAGTCCACCTGATGGTAAGTGGTTGCTGTGACCCATATACCTCTACATCAATCCTCGATTAAGAATCACAATTTAGATGCGTTATCACCCGTCAGGACTAAGATAGAAAGCCTCATTCCCTGTAAAATGACATAATATAATTGTCTATGAAACACGAAGCACCGACGTATTGCAAGAACAAACAGTGAATATCGCTATGATAATAGCAGGAGAGCATAGGCATAAAGAGAATGGACTGTGCGTTCCGTAATCAGTTAATATGGACCAAAAAGTGCGAGAGAGACAAAGCGAATGTGCGGCCATTATTGTCTCTTTCTAGAATCCTGATTGGTCCGTCACTGGCGGCCAGGAGAATAGAGGGGAAAGTGGCTTGCAGAAAATAAAGGTATTGGCCGCACAGTCGCTTTGTCTCCTTCTAGATAATGGTCACTTTTGTGGCTAACGCTCAGTCCATTCCCTCTAACCCTCTATGTCTATGCAGGACAGTAATCGAGTTCTGCATGTCAAAATGCGTTCCAAGTCACTATTTCGTAACAATGCTCAGATTGAATTTTATTTAATTCGTAAACGTCTTTTGACACTACAATTGTGTTGAGTAATGTTTTACGGGTAAGTAAAGATTTATTACAGATTTGAGAATTTTTCAAAAAATCTTAACAATGGATTTTCGAAACTTTATATTTTTGACATTTGATACCTTTAATCCATATCATCAGAAATTTTGATAAATCTTTACTAATCCCTTCTACCATAAAAATTAAAACTCAATACCCAGTTGCCATTTCTAAAGTTAGACCCAAAAGAGTAGATAACAAAATGCTGTTTTAGATTTTACATTCTTTACTACCTAGAAGGTATTTCTTTGGACGTCTAATAGAAATTGATAAAAAAATGTATAGGATAATATAGGCACACAGTCCACCTGATGGTAAGTGGTTACATTGGCTCATAGACATCTACATCTATCCTCGATTACGAATCAAAATGCAGATGCGTTGGCACCCGTGAGGACTAAGATGGAATGCCTTGTTTCCAGTGAAAAGAGTCTCTGGTTCTCTACACTCACCATACGAAAAACAGTAGCATTAAGCTACTATTTTACGCTGGTATTCTGTGAGAGCGTGGTCCTTCCCCGATCGAGCCGACCCATTCATGCTACAACTATACTACTAATATAACTGCAGCATTGCTCTACCACGTAAAGAAGTGATAAAATTATTGAATATTTTTGCAAAATTATACTAATTGTACAAAAATATCTTTGTATACATACTTTTGCAAGCCAAAATTTCTCTCAATAAGTGGGAAGCTGGTGTGAGGGAGTAGCAGCGAGGCATTAGAAACATTATGAGTAATTCGCTAATTTGACGTAGGTAATGAAGTTCAGTCTCGTATGTTGCCAAGTGAGGTGCCAGGGCAAACACAGGAGGTTGGTTCAGTTCTAAACTGCAAAAAGTAAAAATTACATTAAAAGGTTATTAATTTACTGCTAAGGCTATATTAAGTAGTTAATTAATATTATATTCCTTTTTTTTATGTTTAATATGAAAATTAATTTTTAAGAATACATAGTAAAACAAATAAATAGATAGGCCTTACTAAACCTTTGTACGAAAACGACGATCGAACGCCCGATACCCCCCCCCCTCCATCGTCTTACTAGGCATATGCAAGCCTCGATATCAATAGCAGTGTCATATGATACTAATATTAACAAAGTTTAAAGTAACTGTGATATTACGCACCCGTCGAACGCGGCCAAACCAAGATCTAGCACAGCATACATGCATGTCATGGGTGTGCATTGGAAATGAAAATTCGAAAATAATTTCAAATTTATTTACATGTTTATGTTTTAGCCAGATATTGAGAAATGATGACATTTATTAAATTATAATAATTCTAAATCACAGACTGTTGTGTTTGACATTGGCAGAATGATAAATAATGAATGTTATATTTTATTTGTAAAACAGATTATATACAAATTTTTATTTTGCAGTCCTTCTCCATATAAACTTTAACTTTAACAAAGCTTACACTCCTCCGTGCTTGCAATATGTGCTTAAAAAGGGGCACAAAGTTTTCTCTTTACGTATTAATCGTCGCCGAGGTCACTACTAAAGGTCGTTACAAACATCAAAGGATTGATGAATATCTTCGAGATTTCATGGCTCAAATAATAACAATATTTCTACCCACAAGCAAAATAAGCTCTTTAAATGTGGAGTTGTGGAAAATAGACCATTGAAAACTTAACTTAATGAAACTGCAAATGACTCTAGAGGAGTTTTTTCACAAGTTATTCTAGATTTTGGAGGGAATGATTTATCTCTGCCGGTCGTCCCACTCAACTGTTTGTATTTGGACTTTTCAGAAAACAATAAGTTAATTAATATACACTTAAGTATATGACGCCTCTAATGATATTAAAGTATACAAAAAACATTGTGCTTGCATTATATTGTTTTTTAGTTTATATTATCTATAGTACCCGGTGGACCGAGCTTTGCCCGGTATTTTTCGCTCGGTTTTTTTTTTATTCGTGTGTTTTGGAAATTATATTTAGATACAAATTACATACTGATGAAATACGAATAATATTTTTTGATCATAGCGACATAATAGAAAAAACTGAACTGGTTATTTGAATAAAAAATCATGAGTGCAATTAGTTTAATTTAAATTTACGTGTTTTTAAAAAATACTAAAAAAAGGGCTCTAAAAAATAGATTTTCTCAAAAAAGAAATGAACTTGAAAAAAAAAAGTCCGTCGGTCGGTCTGGGCTCGAACCATGGTATTACGATTTTGTGACCGCCCAATATACCAATTAAGCTATTTGTAATCATTAATAAACTGTCAAAATTTACCTTCTTATTCTAACGATATTGTAGCAGTTTTTCTTTGCCTAAAAACACGGACAAAAAGACATTTTCTAAAAATAAATCCTAGCTAGATCAATTTATTGCCCCCGAAACTCCCTGCACACAAAATTTGAAAATCGTTGGAGCCGTTTCCGAGATTCCGATTATATATATATATATATATATATATATAGAATTGCTCGTTTAAAGGTATAGGATACATTAAATATAATTTTACAATAGATTCCATTTTACTACTATTTATATATGTATACTAATACGTATATATTTGTATAAATAGTCCGTACGGATAAAGAATGGGATAAGAAATGGTGACTCATCGAGCCCGTGCCGTCAACATGCACAGTATCAATAGCGAAAACCCGCTAATAACAGTGTATTGTTATAATATTAAATTATTCGATTAATTGGAAATTTTCTATTAATGGGAAAATGTATGAAAATAATTGTGTACACAAGTGGACATATATTAATTTCAAAATAACATTTATAACTAGCGACCCACTCTGGCTTTTCTTGGGTGGGATCTATTAGTGTGGTGTTATTTAAACTTAATATAAATCTTAGTATAATCATTGAAGACCATTTATTTTATCTTATGAATATTCCTATTTTAATAAATTCTCTACATTTTTCGAATAAAATTTATTATTCTCCATTTGTTCATAAAGGTTGGACAGACAGACAAACGAAAATTTTAAAAATGGTTAATCATGTCTCAATGACATTTAAAATTAAAAAGTAAAATTTTATACAAAAATATTAAAAACAATATCAACAATAATTATGAAGAAACTCTCATAACGATTCACGTAGGTAGCTCAAAAACTTGCAAAAGTGGACCCATTCTTTTTGTGTAGTTTATTTTTTTTTATTTAAACTTTTATGCACAAAAATAAAATCATACATTTGGCATTCTCCCCAGTCAACCATTAGGCTAAGCAGAGATAAACTATGATAGGTAGTGCAGCAAAGCTAAACTAGTACTTAAAGATAATATACATCCATCATACAAATATACATAAAATATAAATATATAAATATTATATATACCGTGCAAAGCCGGGGCAGATTGCTGGTATAGAATATATATTATATAGTATATATATATATATATATATATATATATATATATGTGTATGTGTGTGTGTGTGTGTGTGTACATCTTAATATATATAAAAAATATATATATATATATATATATATATATATAAATTATGTGTCACATTGTTTGTCCGTGATGGACTCTTAAACTACTTAACCGATTTTAATCAAATTTGCACACCGTGTGAACAACAGGGGGCAGAACAACGTCTGCCTGGCATACATGCTATTGATTCTATGCCAGCGATCTGCCCTGGCTTTTTTCTAGGACGTTCCATTTTACACACTGCTACTGAGTTTTATACATTATTTTATGTTTCATTTAATCAGTATGGATTTCTTTACTAGTCCTTGTATAGTACAGATTAATTAAAAATAAGACATAGATAAGTTAATAACCTCTCAACTGCGGATGTCCAAGACTTGGACACGAAAATATCTGCGTTGACTGCGGGTATCCAAGTGTTAGACATTTTTTACCCGCTCTTTTAATGAAGAAACAAAGCATTATGCGCTATTTCTAACTCATTCTACCATATGTCAATGTGTACAGGATAAAAAAGGCTAACATAAAAACCCCGCAGCTTATACACTTTAGTAGTATATTTTATTTAAATCATTCTTAAATGTCGTCCGTTCCTTGAGTTAGCCATTAGTATGATTGACGCGCGCTAACAACGAAGTTGTTTGTAATTATTTTGTATTAATTTATATTTATTGTGTGGTGAATTGTGTTAAAATGATGCCTGGGTAAGTAACCTTCTTATTTGTAATCTCATTTTGTGTTTTATCTTATTAAGTACGTGTAAAATCGTTTTTTAATATGTATGAAGCAAACTGCTATCTTAGAACTAACATGCTGGTTGAGGAAAGTTGACTTGAAATGTACGTAAGATTTTAGTTTTGACTGTCAATTTAGTGTTAAAATATGTGTAATTGTTCATCGTTCACAGTTTTAGTACATTAAAATGAGGATAAAGTGCAATATTTTCAAAATTTTAATGTAAATACGCAATAGGTGCAATAGTGTCCATTTTTGTGACGTCCGCGGGTAGTGAATTGTAGTTCTCTGTTTTGCGGGTGGCGAAAAAAGGAACTAAAGTTTGCCATACTGCATCAAGTTCAAATTCGGTTGAATGATTAGAATGGTAAAGAATCTAGCGCCCTCGAGCAGAGAAATGGAGCTTGGTTGACTCCACGATTATTCGATGATTTATGAAAAATTTAATGTGGCATTTGGATATGTCATGTATGTTAACACAAGACTTCGGAATTTTTTAAACAATTTATTAAATCAGAAAATTAGAAAGTATTTACATAATATGCTTTTTAATATTTTTATTTTAATATTTTTTAATATTATTTAATATTTGAAATTTTTATTTTTTAATTTAATATGTTGAGTGATTTTTAAGGTCACCTCAGACACATATTTCTTATTTTGTTTTTTTTTAGTGTACATTTTATCTGTATGTACTTTGCAAATTGTGTAATGTTGCGTTATGTATCAACCTAGAGCAAGATTGCTGCTACCTACAGTACCATTCGTAAATGAATTGTACTGTAGATACAGTAAATCCAACAAGTACCAGGAGCCTTTTAAAGAAATGAGTACCTATGTTATATATTTATTCAATTTTATACTTATGTCCATACATACATTTAGTTTTTATTGTTGCCTAGCTATAATTTGTTCAGCTAATTATTTCAGACTATCATCGTCGAAATTGTTAAGTTATTATATAGTAGTATAGTATTAGTATAGTAGTATTTTTTATAGTTAAGTTACACAGCTTATTTCCGTCCCACTGCTGGACCTTCCCTCACTTCTGAAAAGGTTTTAGGGCAAAGAAGTGTCCGCCGCGCTGCCCATATGAGTGTTGGCGAACTGCACATGCCTTGGAAATTTTTTTTTTATTTCTCAGACAGTCAGACTTCCTCATGATGTTTTCCTTCACCGCCGAGCAAGAGGTAAATCAGCACTTAAAATTTCAATTAATAATTTCATTGATGCCGGCGGGGATCGAACCCGATGTGCTAGCGTACTGTGAAACGCTACAGCTAACAATCTGAGCTACCAGGGCTCTCTCATCGTCGAAATGAATACTTAAGTTAGTTAAGTTACAGTCTTTTTACGCCCCACAGCTGGGCAAAGGCATCCCGTTATTTCTCAGAGGGTTTTAGGGCAAAGAAGTTTCCGCTGCACTGCCCCAATGCGTGTTGGTGAACTTCACATGTCTTCGAAATATTTTTTTCTTATTTCACAGACGTGCAGGTTTCCTCACAATGTCTTTCTTCACCGCCGAGCACGTGGTAGATCAGCACTTAAAATTGCAATTAACAATTTCATTATTGCTAGCGAGGATCAAACCCGGCTTGCTAGCGTACTGTGAAATTTACAGTGAGAGCTAACCATCTGAGCTACCACGGCTCCTCTGAGCCACCACGGCTCTTTGAATACATCTATAGTATAGGGTGACAAAAGAGCATGCAGTCCACCTGTGGTGGTTGCTGCGGCCTATAGATATCTACATCTATCCTCGTTTCCAGTAAAAAGGCTCTCCGGTTCTCTACACTCACCATACGAAACACAGAAGGATTAAGCTATTATTTCACGCTGGTATTCGGTGAGAGCGTGGTCCTTCCCCGGTCGAGCCGACCTATTCGTGCTACAACTATACTACTAATATAACTGCAGCATGGCTCTACCACGTATAAAAAATATTTTAATGGACTAGTACATGATGCACAAAAAAGTGTAGAATCGGACTTTAATTGTGGCATATTTTTGTATAATGCATAAGAAGTAGGTTCTTTAAAAATATACATAATTAATATTTTTTATTTCAGGAAGAGATATATTTATTTTAAATTTTATTATTTCGTAGCTATTATTTGTGTTAAAGAAAATATTATGTTACCTTTTGGAGAAATAATGTTGTTGGTTATTGGAAATGTAACATAACCGCTGAGCACCTCGCGGCGCCTCTGTCACTCGACACATATTATGGTGCATTGGGTATTGTTTACAAAAAACGTTATTTATAACTCTACACCGTATGGTTAAAGGAGTATAATCTTTTTTTTCTTTTTATTTCTGTACAAGTGCTGTTAAAGTTTGTTTGCTCAAATAAAGTAATTAATTTTTCCAATAAATATGGCACTTACGACTAAAATTTTGATATCGGCATTAAGAGTACTTATGAAATATATTATGAGATTTCTAAAACTTAGCAAGACCTATTGAAAGATGACTGAATCATGTAAAGAAAAAGAGAGGTTCAAGACTGAATCATTATAATGAAATAAAAAAAACTATTTTTATTGACTAAAGCATTACGCCGCATTATGCCGGATCTGGTCTGAACTACATTCTACATCGGTGTAAATTGATTGTGGGTTCTTGAAAGCTTATTATTAATGCGTTTTATGATAAAAAATTGTATTGTAGCCTATGATTTTGCACATAAAATATTCTAAACAATAGATGTAAGATTAAAATAAAATAAAATTGAACTATTAAAAAACTTTGTGTCATTGAGAAATATGATAGTTTTGACTTTATTCAATATTTAGTTATACTAATTACTTTAAAACTTTATTAAATATATGTACTCGTTTATAGGAAATTTCATAGAGAATTCCGAAATGTATACATATTATAGTATTCGATATACCAAAATCAAGATATTTGCGTTTAAACTGATTGGGCCCAATCAGCCGTCTATTTTATTAAACAGCTCCGCAGTCAACGGAGTATTACGGTTAGAGTCTCCGCAGCTGAAAGGATAATAAGTTCTATCACATTTATTTCTTTATTGCCTATTTGGTAACGGCAAATCCTAGCCTAAAAGGGGACATATATTTTTTGGGCTTTGTAGCATATAAATCGTAAAAATGACTATATGACATTATTTTCTAAACTTACATGCTGTTTTTCTACTATACCTTATAACTATACATAGAATTTCACTATCAGGTTTTTAAATGAATGGAAAGTGGGCATGATTCTTTCTTTTTTATAGAATAAAGGTGACAAACAAGCACACAATCCACCTGACGGTTAGTCATTGCTGAGGCGTATAGACATCTATATGCTATCCTTGATTACAAATAAAATTGCAGATACATTGTCACCCGTGAGGACTATGATGTAATGCCTCATTTCTAGTGAAAAGGGTCTCCCGTTCTCTTCACGCACTATAATCTTTAAGCTGCTATTTTAAGCTAGCATTCTGTAAGAGCATGGTCGTTTCCCGGACGAGCCAACCCATTTGTTTTACAACTATATATAGCCGCAGCATAGCTCTACCGTGTATTATTTTGATTAATATTTAGAATGGAAACTTATATACTATAAAATTACTTACGCACAACTCCTGGCAATCCTTATTCGTTCAAAATGTTGTGTAACTTTAGTCACCATATCATTAGCTAATAACTTTTCAGCATCTACCTTCAACAGTCTCTCATATAATGTTTGTACAGCCCCCCAGATATGCTCCTTAAATTTGTCTATTACTGGTTCCGGTTTATGAGACAATTCCTTCAACCACCTTGTCACAAAATCTCGAATAAAATAGTCTATTAAAAGTTGCAATTGGCTGTCTACAGTTCGTCCAAAAATTATAGCCAAATGAGATTTTCTTGGTGAGTTCACCCAAGAACTTTGGTCTTCCTGTAAACAAAATGTTATTTAAAACCATCCATCAATCACAGCCTATAAAAGTCCACAGCTGAACCTAGGACTCCCCTTAGTTTGCCTCATAAGGGGGATGTTCGCTTTAGTTGTTACGCTTGGCTGGCAGGTTGGCAACTGCAGATTTTTGACTGGAAATGCTGCTACCTATCTCCTGGTTTGCTTCCTCATGTCTGGATATTATTACATCTCTAACACAGATAATTATTTTTTGTAATACACACCCTTATTGCTTCTTCCAACAAACGAGATTCCCTTTCCGCCTTTTCCACCAAAAATACAGATGCCTGATGTGGTGAAGACAGTACAATATGTCCCCAAAAAGTTAATATAAAAACTCCAATGACAAGAAAAGCACTGAGAAATATCAAGTAGATAAAGCTCCAAAGTAAAGGGAAATACCATATTATTGATAGGCAAATAGGTGTTGTACAGAATGTAATCCATTTCAACATGGTTATGTATCATTAATAAAAATTTAAGCAAATGATTTAAGTAAATTTATAAATTGGAAATTATTAAAATCTCATAAATCATTTTACTTTAAAAAATTTCTCTTCATCACAACAAAATAACATCATTTATAGCTAATTACTGCATAGATTACTGTCAGTTTATACCAAAGAGTATATTAAGTATATATAGGAAGTTTATACAAAGGTACTCTGTGATTACTGTATATATACTACACACAGAGTACATTTCCTATACAAAAGTCGTAGACAGAGAATCCTAAAGTACTCTGTGCACAGAGTACTTTTTTTATTGGTTAAGGACGCGTTTGCAAATCAACCAAAATTAGGGTGTTTTTCGGGAGATTTTGTGACAAAACTAAACCAAATCAAATATAAGTAAAAACTACCATGTATAGATTGGTTCTTCATCTGCAAACGTCTGTAACTCTTTTGTTGAAAATAGTAGTTTTTTATATTGTAAAAACGAACTTTCGTTGCCATTTTCTACAAAATTAACGATACCGGCTTGTGTTTCGGTACATGTTTTGGTCTATTATCAACATATTTAAAAAATTTAAAAAATACTATAAGATGACAGCCATATTCAATTAAAAAACCCTGTGTTTATTTTTTATCAAAATGTCACAAATAGTCGTAGAAAAAATAAAAACTGATGCACATTTTTTCACATATTTTGCTAATACGGATAAATCATAATCTATTGCAATAAGGGCTATTTTATTGTTGATGCCTGCTTTGATTTATTGTACAAAGATTTCGATGAAACCACAGTCCGCGCTCGGCCGCCGTCGTGAGTGGATACTGTATCGCCTGTTTGGAGCGGCTCATTCTGAAAAGATCGCTGTACATACACAAAATATTAGAAAAAAACAAATTGGAAACATAAGTACTTGACAAGTGATAAAATTATTATTTTTATACTCACAGTTTTTTATTTAGCTAAAAATAAGTAGGATATATAAACTTACCTACTACTGCAACTCCTGGACGAGCGGAACTAGGTGTGCCGAGTTTGGGCTCGTTTTGTTGGTTATGATGAGACCTTACCTCCGGACTTGATGGCGTGACCTGAAGGTGTACTTTCGTGACCGCTATTTGAACTTCTTGCAGAGTAAAACTAGGGGTGGCGAATTTGGGCTCCGTTTTGTTAGTTATGACGAGTCCATACCTCCGGACTTGATGGAGTGACCTGAAGGTGTAAATCGGTGATTGCAACTGGAACTCCTAGACTGGTAGAACTAGGTGTGCCGAGTTTGGGTTCGTTTTGTAGGTTATGATGAGACCTTACCACCGGACTTGATGGAGTGACCTGAAGGTGTAGTTCGGTGATTACAAGTGGAACTCCTAGACTTGTAGGACTAAGTGTGCCGAGTTTGGGTTCGTTTTGTTAGTTATGATGAGACCTTACCACCAGACTTGTTGGAGTGTCCTGAAGGGGTAATTCAGTAACTACTGCTGGAATTTCTGAACGAGTAGAACTAGGTGTGCCGAATTTGGGCTTCGTTTTGTTAGTTATGACGAGTCCATACCTCCGGACTTGATGGAGTGACCTGAAGGTGTAAATCGGTGATTGCAACTGGAACTCCTAGACTGGTAGAACTAGGTGTGCCGAGTTTGGGTTCGTTTTGTAGGTTATGATGAGACCTTACCACGAGACTTGATGGAGTGACCTGAAGGTGTAGTTCAGTGATTACAAGTGGAACTCCTAGACTTGTAGAACTAGGTGTGCCGAGTTTGGGTTCGTTTTGTTAGTTACGATGAGACCTTACCACCGGACTTGATTGAGTGACCTGAAGGTGTAATCAGGTGGTTACAAATGGAACTCCTAGACTAGTAGAACTAGGTGTGACGAGTTTGGTTTCGTTTTGTTAGTTACGATAAGACCTTACCACTGGACTTGATGGAGTGAAATTCGGCACACCTAGTTCTACTGGTTCAGAAATTCCAGCAGTAGCTACTGAATTACCCCTTCAGGTCACTCCATCAAGTCTGGTGGTAAGGTCTCATCATAACTAACAAAACGAACCCAAACTCGGCACACCTAGTTCTACAAGTCTAGGAGTTCCAGTTGCAATCACCGATTTACACCTTCAGGTCACTCCATCAAGTCCGGAGTTATGGACTCGTCATAACTAACAAAACGAAGCCCAAATTCGGCACACCTAGTTCTACTCGTTCAGAAATTCCAGCAGTAGTTACTGAATTAGCCCTTCAGGTCACTCCACCAAGTCTGTTGGAAAGGTCTCATCATAACTAACAAAACGAACCCAAACTCGGCACACCTAGTTCTACAAGTCTAGGAGTTCCACTTGTAATTACCGAACTACACCTTCAGGTCACTCCATCAATTCCGGTGGTAAGGTCTCATCATAACCTACAAAACGAACCCAAACTCGGCACACCTAGTTCTACCAGTCTAGGAGTTCCAGTTGCCATCACCGATTTACACCTTCAGGTCACTCCATCAAGTCCGGAGGTATGGACTCGTCATAACTAACAAAACGAAGCCCAAATTCGGCACACCTAGTTCTACTCATTCAGAAATTCCAGCAGTAGTTACTGAATTAGCCCTTCAGGTCACTCCACCAAGTCTGTTGGAAAGGTCTCATCATAACTAACAAAACGAACCCAAAATCGGCACACCTAGTCCTACAAGTCTAGGAGTTCCACTTGTAATCACCGAACTACACCTTCAGGTCACTCCATCAATTCCGGTGGTAAGGTCTCATCATAACCTACAAAACGAACCCAAACTCGGCACACCTAGTTCTACCAGTCTAGGAGTTCCAGTTGCCATCACCGATTTACACCTTCAGGTCACTCCATCAAGTCCGGAGGTATGGACTCGTCATAACTAACAAAACGGAGCCCAAGTTCGGCACACCTAGTTCTACTCGTTCAGAAATTCCAGCAGTAGTTACTGAATTACCCCTTCAGGTCACTCCATCAAGTCTGGTGGTAAGGTCTCATCATAACTAACAAAACGAACCCAAACTCAGCACACCTAGTTCTACTAGTCTAGGAGTTCCACTTGTAATCACCGAATTACACCTTCAGGTCACTCCATCAAGTCCGGTGGTAAGGTCTCATCATAACCAACAAAACGAACCCAAACTCGGCACACCTAGTTCCACTAGTCTAGGAGTTCCTGTTGTAATCACCAAATTACACCTTCAGGTCACTCCATCAAGTCCGCAGGTAGGTAAGGTCTTATTATAACTAACAAAACCAGTTCAAAGTCCAGAGCTAACATCTCACTACCAGTAGAGGGCTTCCAGTGCCAAGCAGTCTCTGGAGCAGGTATTCGTATTTCGTATCGAAGTATATTTCTGAGGTAGGTATAAGAAATGAAAAACAAATTCAATCTTTCAAATTATCAAAATAATTTCATTTGACTACGATTCCCACAGCCAACCGTGCGTACACTAGTGTGTGTGTGACTTTTGTCAATGTAGTAGTGCGATTCTATACCTATCAATTTTGTAAACGCGTCCTTAAATTAGGTTTCTCTGTCTACGGGATAAATAGATATGTAGCAAGTAGGGATGTTCGATGATCATCGATGTTAAAAATTACGACATCGATGTTTTAACATCGATGTTGCTACATGTAAACATCGAATCATCGATGTTGCCACATGTGAAACATCGATGTCAATGAACCGATAATCGGTTAATAAGAACGAATATAATAAATACGAAGAATACTGCTTGGGCTGTCTGATTAAAAATTGAGAACAAAGGTGATGGAAAAGTCTATTATTTTGTTTTTGTGAAGTTTGTTAATTTTCCTTCTATAATCATATTTTTTATTTCGCGATAGGAGTAGTTAGTATAAAACGTACGTCTAAATCGTAAATTAGGTCCCATAGTAAATTGAAATAATACTAGTTTTTACGGAATTTATCGCGTATATTTAACTTTTTAAATACCCGACGTTTCGAACGCTTTACAGCACTCATGGTCACGGGCAGGACTGAGATGTTCAACGTCCATATGTCATAGTTAACCGCGGTTACCATAGATTAAAATTTAACTTTTGTTCCGATCTATGCAGTATGAACTTATGGTATCTTGAAGTCTTGCAGTTGTATGCTTGGGTTGGGATTTAATTTTATTTATTATAGAATCCCAAGCAGATGGTAGCACCCAGCCATCTTCTCTATTGAAATTAGGATGTTTTTTGATTTCAATAGCCTCGCGAATCATCCTTGGAAGGAATCGGTGTTCTTTAGCGAGGATCTGCGGTCTATCAAATCTGATGTAGTGACGGGAGCGATCCTGTACGTGTTCACAGACTGCAGACTTCCCGGAGCGTCGATTCTTCACATCAGCTATATGTTCTTTAACGCGGGTTTTTATTGATCTTTTAGTTTGTCCTATGTAGGAGAGACCACATTCACAATCAAGCTTGTACACTCCTGCATCTTGCAGAGGGACATTACACTTGACCGATGGTAGAAACTGACCAATCTTCTTCAGCGGCTTGAAGTATGTTTTGATGGAAGCGCGCTTCAAGATGTAGCCAATCTTGTCAGTGACTCCTCTAACATATGGCAGTACAGCAGGTACACGCTCGACTGTGGCCGGCTTTACTCGTTCACTGTGACGTAGGCGCGGGACTCGAAGCTTTGCTCTGCACTACGACATATGGACGTTGAACATCTCAGTGCTGCCCGTGACCATGAATGCTGTAAAGCGTTCGAAACATCGGGTATTTAAAAAGTTAAATATACGCGATAAATTCCGTAAAAACTAGTATTATTTCAATGTGTAGTGTTCGCGTAAATATAAGGAACCCATAGTAAATTTTTGCATACCAGATTTATTATTGCATAGGAACATTTAAAGATCAAAGTAATAACATTCATCAATATCGGTAGTAAATGAACTAAATATTTCTTAATATTTTCCCATTTTTCAATAATTGTTGACACTAAATGTTTTATTAATTTCTTTTATTAAATTAATT